TGAATATTTTCAAACATAGAGTTATATAGAGAGCAGGATATGTGGACCCTATATCGTGTTAAAACAGTCTGTAACTGTTCAAAAACAAAAGTCAAGATATGTAACTCATAAAACACAATGCACAAATAAATGCAGTGATTTGTCTCTGTAAATCAAGCTGTGTAACCAAGGGCTGTAGATTTGGTCTCAACCCCTCCAAAACAAAGAGGACTTTTTAATGCTGTCAACCAAATGGTTTATTAACATATAAGATCTGGATTCACATTCAGAAATGTATTAAGATTTAAATAAAACTCAGATTAAAGACTAAACTTTAGGAAATTATCATGTGTTATAATAATTGAGACCTCTGGGCAAAACTCAGCTGCATGTTCAAAATCAGTGTATTCATGGCTGTGCTGTGGTTTTGGCTACATAAACACTGAAACACTTGGCTGGTTGACCCATAGTTGACTTCATTACTCAGTCAGTCAGTCACTCAGTCAGTCAGTCAGTTAGTGACAGTGGGTGAATGGGAGCAAGTCCCTGCAGCTCAGTGCTAAAATCTTGTGGAAAGCATTCCCACAAGATTGGCAGCTGCAGTCACAAACTTATAGTTGCAAAGTAACTCCAATATATTTCTTCAACCAATTTCAACACAGAAAACCTGAATATTGAATAATACCAGTCCTCAAATAAAATGCCAACATAATTTGTTTTAAGGTCAGTATTCCAGATGATGGTAGTTCAGTGTGACATTGTTGCAGTTTGCACAATGGTCTGTCTTTGTCCATCACCTGAGCCATTTGAGGCCACTTCCATCTTTTTGTCTTTACATCCACAATCACGGTCAGTGTGTCATGATCTTGTCCTTTCCACAGTGTGCATAATTTGTTGAAGCTGTCACACAGCCTCTGCCAACACATGCAAGTCTACACCATGATAAGAAGCTGACTGAGATAACTTTTCAAATTAAATAGAGGAAGAGGAATAAGGTGTCAATGGAGCTGTGTGAGGCCTGCTATGGATATGGAGTCAGTGTGTCTTCCACCAAGGCAAATCAACTGAGGGCAGAAACTAGAAAGAATGGAAAAACCAAGGGAGACGGAGTCATGGCCAAAAAGCAGAAAATCCAACTTTGTTTTTCTCAGACATTTGGTTTATTAGAAATGCTTATTAAAATGTTCCAGAAACAAAATGGTTTGTACCACACAAAAACACAAGCTTCCATATTCAATAAACAGTATAAAAATACCTTTGAAAATAGCACCTTTTTTCTGGCAGGTAAACATGCAGTCGTGATACACAATTTTCCCCAAATAATAAAAACATTATGTACAAAATATTGGCAGAATATTGTGCTCGATTCTTCATATTTAATAAATGTATAGACTATCGGTAGTAATAACCTAATATATTTGTGGTGTATGTTATTATTGTGTGGAGAGGTAAGAGGAGTTATTTCCAGCATCAATGGTTCTGGAAGTAAAAGTTTCTGCATAGATAACATTCAATGACCTATAATTAAAGAACTTTCAAGGCATGGGATCATCTGGTTGGATTAATTTATTACAATCATGTATTTCATAAAAAGGTAAAACATAGAGGCCTGTGTACATAAAAATTATGCAAGAGAAGTCAATTTCAACTCCCAAGGTGCACTGCAGTAAGAAACCATCTAATCAAAGAACTTAAAACTCTTTGTGTATTGCTAATTTTATAAATTATTTTTTAATTTATCTTATTGTATGTTTTTGGTCTATATTTATATAGATTCATCTAGATTTATATACTTTCTTTCAATTGCTTTTTTTACTTTGTAGAAACCTGTTTAAATCGATCATTTTTGGCTTCAGTGTCAATTCTTTACTTTCTGGGTTCTGTCTTCTCTATAGGAATGGCTGTGGAGGTTGCTACTAAATACTTTAGATTTTAGAGGCATTTTCTAACCAAACTGACTGAAGAGACATGATTTCTTACAACGCTGAAGCTGAAATATTGTTGTTATCCATGTAGCTTAGGTGTTTCTAGGTTGAGGAACATTACAAGAAAACTTAAAAATGCCCATTTACAAAGGAGAACATACTTCCAGAACCCACAACTCAGCCTATTCTGCTACAAGGAGTGACCAAGAATAATTAAAGAACCTTATTATACAACATCCTTGTAGTACGTACCAGTTTGGTAAGTTCATAGAGGGTGTAGTTTGTCCTGTTATTGAACACCTGTTGTATGTTTTTCATTCAATGTTGCTGAGTGTCTATTTGCGTTCCCCTTTTATAATGCAGCTGTGTGTTTAGTTGTCATTATTTTTTTACATTTTCTCGTTCCTCTCCGACACCATACAATTCAGACAACAGCTACATGTATTTAAAATCATGATTACAAAGACAACTACACAACTGAGTCATAGTAAGTTCAATTATAATTAACAGTATGTGTCAGCTTTAACAGATGTCTGATCATCACCATTTTTATTGGTGATTTTTAAGGCAACAAGAAACAGTGGTAGAAACAGGCAGATTGTTTTCTAGATTTTTTTGCATAGTTTTAAGAACATAAACCAAGGAGGCCTCTGGTATCCGCTCTCAACCTGGGGTACAATTTGGTTGGATTAAAGAAACAATAAATAAACAAAAGCAAATCTTGACCACTGACATTTGACAAAATAATGATGTATAAAAGCTATATGAAGGCGAACATTCCTGTGGCTGAGGAAGAAATGGCCACAATCATCGTGCTGCCTTCAAGGGACGAGAACCTGCACAACAGATCATTTGTTAGAGTGCATACATTGAATATCCGACATAAACTAGAGTGTGTGTGATTAAGTACCTTCAGTCTCTCCAAGGCAGACCTCCTCGCACTCCTCCAAGTGGAGGAAGCGGTTGTCGTTTCCTTCACAGCCACTGTAGATGAAGGGCCTGCAGGCCTGAGCCTGACTGTTAAAGTACCAGCGCAGAGTGTAACGTCCACAACTGCCCTCCTCCATGGGGAGCTGGCACAGGTCTGCTGGAGCTGCAGAACACAAACACACATAAAGAGTGTGCACACGTAGACACAAAGAGGCATGCACAATGAGAAAAGGGCAGGCCAGGCAAAAAGGAGCAGAAGCAGAGCAGCGGTACCAACAGGGGACCCAAAACAAGCACTCATGACCACTGAGGTTAAAACTCAATCAAAACCAACCTGTTTATTTCAGTTATTTTACATAGTTTTAAATAAAGAAATTAGCAGTGATATCTTATTCTTTGTATGTTATTTTACTGGAAGCATATATGCCTCTAAATCAACAGAACAGCCGACAGCCTGAGACATACAGAGAGGGCCAGACACCAGGAAGGCAGGAGGGCAGAATTAAACCTTTATAAATCCCAAATCAGGACGGTGGTTTACCTTCCCCCTTGACTCTTCTCTTGGACCTGACTGATCTGGACTTGACTGCTTTCAGAGGTGCAACTCTGACTGCTTTCTGACCACCAACTGTTGGTGTTTTCTTTTCACTGGCTGCTTTGTTTGGTTTAACTTTAACTGTTTTCTCTGATTCCTCTTTGACAGCCTCACCTGTCAACACACACACCACACACATCTACACACACACACACACACACCGACACACACACAAGCACACACACACGGTAAAGACACATTCAGTAGAAATGGAAAAAATGAGAAAAAGATGTTAATGTGATAACAGGGCCACAATCAACATGAAAGATCACAGACTCAGGATGGTGTTCGCTTATAGCAGGCTAGGTGACAATTATTCAAGCCCAACACAGTCTCATAATCTTATGGAATGAGCATAGAGTGAAACGCAGACACAATATGAGACACGCTTCTCCAGCGCAAATTGGATTATGTGCTGACTGAATAAACTAAATTATGAGACATGACTAGAAATTTGTTAGTTGACTAAAATGATTAGGTTGAGGGAAATCTTTGTATTTGTCAACCTGATTCTTATTCTCATATTAATGTCCATTGTGTCGTATGATCATAATAACATTTTACTCCATTGTGAAGATATGGAAAACCCAGACTTTGGCACAGTGCAATAATAGATGTTAATATTTAGTTATATTGGACAAAAATATTGGAGTAACCTTTTACACACCTCATTGTGGACAGTGTGGGTCCATGTGCCAAGTCTGGTAGTGAATATGTGCTTACGGTGTGTAAGCGCACCAGGTATCGTGCAGCTTATCCATTGAGGTCAATTACGACCAAGTCTGTGTTTTGGCATTTCTAAGGTAATTCAGAGTGATCAAGGGTCAAAACTTTCATCCCATATGTTTGTGGAAGCGTTGAAGCATCAGATGTCTTTTATTTTGAGAACATATACTGTATGTCTTTCACTTTCAAGCAGAAAATAGAAACAGCATTTCACAAACATTTGTGAGACCAGACTGGCTTAGATAGTGCTCACTGTGTCAGTAAATGCTACATCACTTCATGATAGCAATGGACACAGTATGAAACGCACAGTACCGTCACTAAGATTGGCAGAAGGAGTGAAGTAGAGCAGTTCATCCAATGGATCATCGTAGGCCTCGATGGAGTAAATGTGCTCGTAGTCTGGGTCATTGGTGTTCACCACCACACGCACCTCACGGCCTGAAAGAAGAGCAGCACCACACAGGTCAGAGATCCATGTAACAACTCAGCCTGGCAGCCTCCAAGCTTCAGATAGAGGGAGGGCTCTCGACCACATTAACTCAACACAAAAAGCCCATAATCAGTTACAGTACAGTCAGTATAGAGCCTATAGTATACCCTAATATTTGTATTTTTTCTGGATGTAATCAGAGATATAGAATATGTATCACATCAGTCAGACACATAAAACACAAATGGAGTCCTCTGTTTTCTTGATGAGAAAACCACCCAGTATTCAGAGGTCTCCAGACGTAGCACCACCAGCTTGATCCTGTTTGTTAGTGACGGACACGCAGACAAACAGACTGAGGCCGACAGGCAGAGCGATGGACGGACACACTCACCCTCCTCACCCTTCAGGACCAGTTGTTGCTCTGGTGGAGGCCGAGCCCTGACTGCGGGCCGGGACCGAGTGTCCAGGCCTGAACCTGAGAGAGCCAGATAGGACAAGGAGGAGCGAACAGGGACACCAAGGGAGCAGGGACAGAATTTGGGGAGCAAGAGGGACCAGGTGAGTGTTACACAGGAGGGAGAAAAAGGAGGACCAGAAAGGCAATATGATGAAAAAAAAGGAAAGACAGAACATTCTGGTAGTAAAACCTTTAGACACACAAGCAAACAACAATCCCAAAGCCCCACAAAAAAATCATTCCACCATTCCAACATACACACCAACTAAAAGGATTTACCAAATTTTTGCAAGACTGATCAACATGAAGTATCTTCCAAAAACTGGTTGTAATCCTTTAAGGACTCAAGTCACTGCCATTATGGACTTGTGTCGCACTCTAGTCAAATATTTTTTGACTTGAGTAACAATTTTTTGGGTAATAATAGATACATTAAACATGGGTTAAATGTTTGTTTTGGCCTCATTCTCAGTAATGCTGCATATTAAATTACAGCCTGCCACCCCATGGCTTATCTCATGGTACTGCAAGTGTTGATTTATAACACTGACATGATCTAGCATTTATTAACAGCGTCAACAACAAACTCATTTATTAAAACTTCTCGGAAAGTTTTGAGGTTCTCTTTCAAAACTTGCTCTGTATCTCACTATGGGAAGTGCCATTTGGCCAATCACAGAAGCTACACTAACCACATCTGTGAGGGGACAGACCAATCATCTGAACCGCATGATCCAGCCCAACCCCCATTATAAGAGCCTGCAGCCCTTACATGGAATTCCTGCTTTCTACCTAATGAAGATCATTTGACCTGTTCAGCTGTCCTGATTTTGGATTTGGAAGGTAGTCTGTGAATGTGGACATGTTGTTGGGATTTAACAGTTCTCAAGGTTACTTTGCATCTTTTTGTCAACAAAAGTTGGTTGTGTTCAGGTGGTGGTTACTGCATCGTGACGGACCTGTACCTGATCTCGCGTCGGCTAACAGGTTAACATGTCAAAGTAGGTGTAGAGTCACGTCGCATCCTTGCCCAGCTGCCAGCAGTTTCACCATGTTGGGGAGGGGCACCCATCCCCTTTGCATCACGTGTATGGGTGTTAAGCGTGCCCAGGCGTTGCTTGCAGATAGCGGATGATGCAAGCAACGCAGTGTCATACCAACCAACATCCTGGCGCTTTGCGTGTGTCTTGGCGGCCTCAAGGGATGACCCCTCCTTTCCGACGCAGTGGCAAAACCCAAAGGATAAACCGACCTCGGTTAGCATATACTGAGGGGATATGGTGGGGGACGACAATGCAGATTTCCTCCCTCTGTTTAATCAGCTCCTTGACTCGGGGGATAAGCATGGTGGTGGAGAGGAAGAGGATTTTAAGTTGGATCTCCTCGGCAAGGAGAATGAGGACGACAGTGAGGATGCCAGTCTTCCTCCTGTCCAGGCGTTGTGGACTCCAAAAGTACAAATGCGGAATGCTTACACACAATGTCCTGTTCACTTGATTTGACGAGGGAACTGGTTTAAATAAATAGATGTGCACTCTGTCCTTAGTGTTAGTCCATCTTAACTGTGTGCTAGCCGATGGGGAGGGCATGGACCTTCCTGGGTTGAGGTATTATGGGTTTCGGAGCATGCCATTTGGGAATGGACCATATCTCTCACAGTGAGATGCCAAGCAAGGTTGAAAGAGAATATTTGGTTTCTTAGGTAACCCCAGTTCTCTGAAAACTCAGAGAGGTAGGCCTATCTCACAGAACTGCCGTTCGGATGCATTCGGCACATGGAACAGTGCTGGACAGTTGAGGATGCCGTGTAGAGCAGCAGGTGGTGGTAATGAAGCTTCTGCGATTTGTCACGCCAAATGAAGCTTCCCATAATGAGATACCTCACTCAGTTTTCAGAGAACTGGGGTTACCTTGGTAACCAAACGTCTTCACTAATTTTCTTTCTTTCTTTCTCATTTCACACTGTTGTGTTATGCTATTCAAACAAATGACAAACTATACTATATTACATTGTTTTTGTGTGAGTTTAAATGACAATGAATGTTACTAAATTGAACTGAACACAATTGCTAAATGAGGGCAAATGCTCTCCATTTTTTGAAAAAGTATACTAAATGAGACTAACTGTTCTCACTACAGACTCTGCAGCAGCATATGTGGTACAGTATACTGCTGTGACTCATACTAAATCACAGCCCTTCTGTCCACCTCTCTCTCCTCTGCTACAGTCGAATGGCTCACTCACCTCCACACGCTGAGCATCAGGTAGATGGACCAGAAAGAAGCAGAAAAGAGGGAATAATAAAATCAGTCAATTTAAAGAGTCATGGCAATGCAGTAATTCTCTACAGCTTTTTTTGTATTATGCTTTCATAGAGTTTAGCTGAGGCTGTGACACATGTGCTGTGATTACCATTGGACGTTCAACTTGGTTCAACTTTATAAATTGGCAATGCCAGCTACATGAAAGACTCACCACAGTGCTGATTCATTTCTGAGCGAACATAATCTCTGATCTCATTCTCCTGAACACAAAATAAAGATGGATACAAGACAAAATGCACTTAGAAACATGAGCCCAATAATAACTCTGTGTATGTGTTTGCCGTTTGGTGTCAGTCTTTTCAGATTGAGCCCTGCAGTAAGGATCAAGCACTGACCGTCATGCCTGGCTCTCCTCTGTCTCCCTTTGCTCCATCTAGGCCCATCTCTCCCTGCAACACGGATAGGTATTAGAACACACAACACAAGGCTTGCAGTACATTGATTCATTTGACTGAGACTAGGTGCAGCACGTGAACTAAATACAAAGTAAAAGTGAAAGGTTAAAATCAGATATAGTAACTTGTATAGAAACAGAAAAAATTAAATATATTTGGTTTGTCTGTCTTGATGCCTTTTACATGGCTCCTGAGTTCCTAAAATTCAATTAACACAGCTTTAACAATATGTGGTTGTCATTTTATATAACCAGTTTTGGTGCATACAGGTATAACTGTGAAAGTGACAAATCCTGTTGCTAAGGGGCTCATGAGAGCAAGAGAATTTAGGCTTCCTGAGAGACTGTCTCCATTTGGGACAATGTGAAATCTGCAATACTGACAAGCAATAAGTAATTCAGTGCTGAGTGATGATTCTCAGGTGTTTTTGGTAAGTTTTACAGAATTTTTCTGACCTCAGCAAGTAGTTTCTTTTCTAAGATGGTTACCAAGAAAACAACCAAAAGACAGAAGGAGACAAGTTTGATACTAACCTGCTCTCCTCTCTCTCCTGGGATACCTGGGATACCGCGTGGACCGACCGTGGCAGGACCAACTGGCCCTCTCTCTCCCTAACAGGCAAAACAACTTTACAACAAACAACACATCTACAGCAGACACATGTAGCATCAAACTTAAAAGTAATTAACCAGAATTACCGCCTCAATGTTGTATGCCTCCGCCAACCAGTCCAGTGAATTCTAGAGTTATGACTAAAAACGTATTTTGTGCAGTCACAGTGACCTTTGACCTTTAACCACCAAAATCTAATCAGTTCATTCTTGAGTCCAAGTGAACATTTGTACCAAATTTGAAGAAATTCCCTAAAAGGCATTGCTGAGGTATCGCGTCCACGAGAATAGGACGGACGGACGGTTGGATGGACAAACCGAAAACATAATGTCTCCAGTCACAGCTGTCGCCAGTGTGGTATAAAAAAGTTAGAGTGGTAAAATGTTGGGCATAAGGTTTTCACACAGCAACAATGTCCCATACACAATCACTGGATAGGTGGTACTGCATTTGCCTGTATAGTTTCATTGAAAACAAAGGATAACGTTACACACTTTTTCCATAGGAATCGTTTCTCACATTGTTATGCACTGTGCTCATGCTGCTTCAGTCCACACACATAGTATCCAAATGTGATTTCATTATGATGCAGACATTAAGGCTACAGAGAATACTTCCTTCTTTCCATGCTGTATCAACATGAAATACTTCATTGTTTTCTGAAAATAATGGAAGTAGGTTGAATCAAGACTTGATAAGTTCCTGCTTTTCTGTTTCCCACTTTCTTTATTTGATGATGAAGCAGACAAGCCATTCAAACGCAGGGCCCATCAAACTGTCAATCGTCATGAAGCAATACACAGTAATCAAACAAAACTACCAGTCAGGTGAAGAAGAAAGAGGAGAACAAACCAAGGAGAAATACAAAGAGACTGTATTCTTTTCATATCAGTCTTACGTCAAACTTTCTATGTTAAAAGTGTCAAAAACAAAAGTTTTATCTTGGTTGCCATTATACTGCTGAGACACCTCTGACAGCTGCTTTGTGATGTAATTCATACTTTCATCTAGTCTTGCTTCTATTATGTATTTTTCTTTGCTAGGACCCCATCAAATCTGTGCACAGTCATAAGTGATGCTGCACCCATTTGCTGGTGTAACAAGGGATTGTTGAAATGTCTTATCGTCCCTTCAATAGACCTAATAATACTACTACTACTAATACTACTACTACTAATAATAATAATAAGAATAAACTTTAGTTCTCTAGTGCTTTTCAAAACCAGATAAGACATGACCAACAAATTATCCAAAGGCAAAGTATGACTACTCACCTTCTGTCCCTGGAGCCCCTCAGGGCCTTTACCACCAGCTGGTCCCTGAGGACCAGTAAGGCCGGGGGGCCCATCCCCTCCTCTGGGACCAGGAGGACCAGGTATACCAGATGGACCCTGTATAAAGCACAGAGACTGTTAATTACGAATCCCAAGGTTTCCTGTCATGAGGATGAATGACACTGTGCTTCTGAAAGCACATGCAGAATATGAAGATTAGCTACAGTGCACAGCCTGATTATCAAGAGGTTACTTTCAGACCTGTATATATACAGTGCTAGAGAAGTTTAAATTATAAGTTATACTCACTCTTTCACCTTTCTCTCCCTGAGCTCCTTTGGGTCCTGCAACCCCGTCAAAGCCACGGTCACCCTACACAGACACAGAAAAGCAGTTAGATTTCACATTGAGAGACAATTACAGTTTTAAAATAGTTTAAAGAAAAGTTTGCTATAACACAGTAAATACCTTGGGGCCGACAAGCCCCTCTTTTCCAGGGGTCCCAGGGGCCCCAGGAGGTCCGATATCCCCCTGGAAAACAAGGAGAACATATCTGAAGATGAGCAATCTCTATGAAGAGCACAAAGACATGTAATACACCACATGATGCCTGTTTTTCTACAGATGAGTCATACCTGTTCACCTTTTCTTCCTGGAAGGCCTGATCGTCCATGAATACCAGCATCCCCCTGAACACAAAAGCAATTGTTTACTTCATTTTACTTAACATGCAAAATATGACTCATATGAATCTGACCGATTATCCAATTAACCTATATGAGTTTAACATATAATCACAACAGGGCGATAGACTTCTCATTAATTCATTCACTAGCCTCAAATACCGTCAGCTGGCACTTAAATATTAATATGTTTCTGTTTATTGTTATAAAAGAATAAAAACCTCACAGTATGAAATTATCATGATACAATTTTTTCATTCAAAGTTGTTTCTTGTCATCTTCCTCCTACCATATCCCATTTTTCTCTATGTCCCAATCTCACCTTCTCTCCTCTGGGTCCATCGCCTCCACAAACCCCCTTGGGTCCTCGGTCACCCTAGAAAAAATAAATATTCATCATTGACAGAGACACACGAAGAGACTCATGAGTCACAAAAGGACAAAATGCACCAAACCAACCGGACAGAGCTCATCCATACATCTGACACTCAGGCTGAATCCCCATGCACATGAATAAGAGCCACCGTGTGCAACAAATTTCCAACAACAGCTGATATGCAGGATTTCGGCAGGTTCCAACAAGTTACATGTAAGACTTTTTAAAACCTTTTTAAGACCTTTATGAATGTAATTTTCCACACAGGCGAAAAAAGTACGAAAGATATAATGGAAAATCTGAGCCCCGGAATTACTTGCAAAGTAAATTAATTTACTCACATTCACCCTAAACATTCAAGTGAACATGACTACACAGACCTGTGTGTATGCAATAGTAATATATACTGCATATATATGTATGTATGTATGTGTGTGCATGTGTGTGTGTGTGTGTGTGTGTACATGTCTTTCTTTGGTTGTGTGGACAAATTTTGTTTTAAAACCATCATTGTCTTTTTGGCCGGTTCTCACAACAAAAGGCTGTTTGATGGTCAATGAGTGTCCTCACAACTGTAGAAAGACCTGTAGAAAGAATTTGTGTGTGTGTTTTACCAAAGTTGCAGGAGTTAACGTCACGCGCACACACACACACACACACACACACACACACACACACACACACACACACACACACACACACACACACACACAGAAAATACCTTGATTCCTCTCATGCCTGTGATACCAATCTCTCCCTTCTCCCCCCTAAGCCCTGCCAGCCCATCTTTTCCTGGTAAACCCTGGAAGAAAAAACAGAAATCCACAGTTCGGTCACTATAGAGAGACATCCCAGAAAACACAGAAAATGAAGGTGCTGTATTTGGATGGAAGTAAAATTACAGACCGATTCACCAGGTACTCCAGGTTGACCAGCTTCTCCCTGCAGAGAGGAAACAGAATTACAGTAATTATAACTGTGAAATTATTATGTGCACTGACAACTGACTGGCTTTGCTATTAATTATAATGATTTAATCACAATAGAATGCAAAGTGTCACTTGCCTTCTGTCCACCAGGGCCACGGGCACCTGGGAATCCAGTGGATCCTCTTTCTCCTGGCTCTCCCCTCAGACCCTAATTTCAAATGTACACATATACCGGAATATACATACTGCTAATCTATAATATCAATACAATGACATTACATCAAGGGTTTTGGTTATTGCAATATCAGAGTATTGCCTTAGTGTAATTTTGTGCTTGCATTAGAGTTAAGTTGAGTACCTGCAACCCTGGAGGACCCTCTTGACCCTTCACTCCTTTTTCTCCCTGCACACCTTTGGGCCCTCGGTCACCCTGAAACAGAAACCAAACATGTAAGAAAAAGAATATTTAACAAGAATGTAAGTGGAGATTTCACTATAATAAACAGTTTGGCACATCCAAGTGTTCACTGACTGTTTCTCCTTTGTTGCCCTTTTCTCCAGAAGGCCCTTCAACCAGCACAGTGTCCCCCTGTGAGTGACAGCACAGCTGTAAACATCTGGCTTCACCCCAAAGCCAAAACATCCACACACAATGTTTCACCATGTTGCCTTTTCTTAAGCTTTGTCACTTGTAGTATCACAGTTCATTTACATTGTGTGTAAACTACCAACATAGCATTTCTTTCCTCCTCCTCCATTTTTGTGTCATTGTCGTCTTATACACACACACACACACACACACACACACACATATATATACTGTATATATATATATATATATATAGAAAGAGAAAGAGAGTGGGCAGTAGTGGAGCTTATTAGATATTAAAATGCACACACCTTTTCTCCTTTGTCACCTTGCAGTCCAACATCTCCCTGAAAAAAAAAGATTGAAAGCAAAACATTTAATTCAGATGCTGCAACTAGCAGCTGCTCTAGGACCTACACGATGCCACACCCCACAGCCTGTTCGATGACCATGTGTGGCCCATGTATTTGAAACAGAGGAACAATCACACATATACATGGGAAGGGGAAGAACTTGTAGTATTCACCTTCTCTCCCCGAGTACCACGACTCCCTGGGGGACCCTGGAAAACACACAAACACACACATGCTCCATTATATATGGCTCCACAATTTAAAAAAAAACAAAAAACTCCTAAGCTAGTTTTCCTTTGTCAGACCACAAAACTGAAATTACAACAACGTCATAACTCCCTAGTGTTTAAAAGGGCTATTTTTAAGTTTTACTATTGCTACACAGCCAATGTTAGCATAGCTGTTTACTTACTTTATTTATAGTAAAGTAAGTGAACAAGAAACATTGTGAGTTCAGTATCAAACTTTTTTTTTACTCGCCAAGTACAGTCTCCAGCAGTTGTTCTTTTTTCTACTTTTATCACTTCCCTTCTTCTACTGAAGTTAGCATGCTAACCACAAGTCACTGGAGCGTCCAGTATGCCCTGAAGAAGTAGCACTCCTACTTGTATTGTAAACACAAAATTGGCTGAAGTTCTTGGCAAGGCTGCTAAGTAAGTAGCTGTCTATACTAATTTTGGCTATGTAGCAATAGCAAAACTTACAAATAGCTCCTTTAAAGTCTGACTAAACAGTGATGACAAGTAGACCAGATTCCTGTTGAAGGGGCTTCAAAATATGTTGCAACACTGTAAGGGAAGACCAGCAGTGTAATTAGTTAATAGTCTAAGAAATCCATTGTGCCCTTGGAAAGAAAAGCTTTTCCATAATAACCACATGGAAATAAAAAAAATTAAGATTTATTCAGCTGTTGTTGATGTATGTCGTGTTCCTGAGTGATGGATAAAAAAGGAAACACTTGATATTTACTGTTGGCCCTCTCTCCCCATCCAAGCCAGCACGACCCTCCTCGCCCTACAACATTAGAGACAAAAGAAGACACACAAACATGACAGTGTTAGTTTTTATCCTCCGGAGGCAAGTTCATATTTGATAACAATTTCAAAGATATAGCAATGCAACCAGTGTCTTACTCTGGGCCCTGAATCTCCTCTTTCTCCTCTGGGACCAGGGACACCAACACCAACTTCTCCCTGGCATCACAAATCATACATATATGAACTTCAAAAAAAACATTTTTTACATTTGAGCGAGTAGAAAGAAATACATGTCGGCTGGAATAGTCACCTTGTCGCCTTTTACCCCATTGGTACCAGGGGAGCCCTAGAAAACAAGACATTGATCATATAAAATATATATATCTGTTTGTGTTCTTCTTTTCTCTCATTCTCTCTCAGACATATTAACTTCTTAAAAACCTGATTAAACCAAGAGTCCTTATTGAAAACATAAATCTTTTATACAGTTGTATGCAAAAGTTCTGCCTCAATTCCTGTTTAATGTGTTTCTGTTTTTATGTCCATGAAATACAAACAACTAGTATTTAGTCCTTTTAGCTTAAAAAATCAACAAAATATGTCATTTGCACAGGGTTGCCCAAACTGTAAGAAATATCAAACCTTCAACCTAACTACATATCCCAACTCAGAAAACTACCTACAAGCTGTCGTAAAACCATTCACAAGTCCAGCTGGATCAAAAGTCAAGTCAATATAGTAACTCTTGGCTGAACCTAGCTACTTCTCACAGTGTAATAAAAACATGACTTAAACTCACTGCTTCTCCAAGAGGACCAGGAGGACCAGGAGCTCCAACATTTCCTGCACGGCCTGCAACGCCTTGGAGACCCTGAAAATGAAACTCACTAGTTGAAAATCACACCAAAGAGATTAAGGCTAAAAGCATACAGCACTGTGTGATCAGCAGCTCTACTAACCCTCTCCCCCTGTGGTCCTAGAGGTCCTGGTTGCCCAGTTTCTCCTCTCAGACCAGGCTGTCCAGCATCACCAGACTTCCCCTGTGGCCCTGGAGGACCAGCTGGACCAGGAAGGCCTGGATCCCCCTGAAATGCAGTCACAGTTAGATTTTGATCTGTGGCATGTAAACCACACCGACTGATTACAGAGGTAAATACATAAATCATCCTCTGCTGCACCACACACTGTTACTCACTTTTAAACCTTGAGGCCCAACCCGACCAGGAGGACCTGCCATTCCTATGCCCTTCTCTCCCTGCAACACACATTTTATCATAACTGTCACATGGATTTTGTTTAATTTCAGGCAAATTAATAAAACACACAGCAAAACCTCACCTTATCTCCTTTTGTCCCAGGAGATCCTTGTACCCCCTGCATGAAAAACAAATAAGGGGGTGTGAAAAGAAGAAAACAAAATACTAATTAATGTTTTTTGTTAATAATAATAAAGTGCTATTTAAATAGTGTTGCAAATTTTTAAATGTCCCCCAAATATCAGTTTGGGATTCATTATTATGCTGGTGAAGGCATGTTCCATCAGTACTGGTGTATACTGTCAGTGCCTCCGGTGAAATCACAGTTAACATGCCTCATCAACCTCAAGGACGACAAATGATCAAAACTCCAGCCTCAGAGGAGATTGAGCTCAATTACAGTTGACACTTTTAGATAGAAGGTCTAAAGACTTTAATCACACTGTGATTGAAAAGCTGAAAGTTGATTAAGGTAAGATTTTCTACTGACTCTGAAGTGAGAGAACTTGCTAAAAATCCTAGTTTAAAATGCATAGTAAAATGGCAAAAACTAAATATGTATACCTGCATTATTATTTATTTACTTCACTTTTGTAGGAATTCTGAATAACAGAAATGTCATGCTAGTAAAGGTTAAGTGGGATGTGAGTACATAAAGTCAAGCCAGTAAATATTTGGACAGTAACACAATTTTTGTAATTTGGCATCTGTACACCACCACAATGGATTTGGAACGAGGACATCAAGATGCAATTGAAGTGGTTTAACAAAAATACTGCATTAACTGTTTAGGAATTATTTAATTCCATTTTATATGTAGTCCCTCCATTTTAAGAGGCTAAAAAGTAATTGGACAAACATAATTATAATAACATAATTATAAATATAGAGATTATTTTTAACACTTGGATGGAGATCCCTTTGCAGTCAATGACTGCCTCTGAATCCAATGGACATCATGAGTTTCCTTCCTTAAGATGCTTTGCTAGGCTTTTACTGCAGTCACGTGCAGTTGTTGCTTGTTTGTGGGTCTTCCTGCCTTCAGCTTTGTTTTCAGTAAGTGAAAAGCACATTTGCTCATTGAGGTCAGGTGACCGACTTGGCCATTGAAGAATATTCCACTTCTTTGCCTTGAGAAGCTCTTGGGTTGCTTTCGCAGTATGTTACCATCCTATTAGTTTTGCAGCATTTGACTATATCTAAGCCAATAGTACAGGCCCACACACTAGCAGTAGGCACATCATTAAGAAACTCCGTTGGCAGCCATACATTCCCATGCCATAACAGTCTCCACCATAATTCTGGCGTAAGTTACTCTTGGTTTCATCTGTCCAAAGAATCTGGTTCCAGTACTAGGCATTCTTCTTTAGATGTTTTCTGGCAAAGTCTAAACTCCCCTTTCTGTTGAGTGTTACCAGTCGTTTGCACCTTGTGATAAACCCACTGTATTTACATTCATGAAGGTGTCTCTTGATTGTAAACGTCAATGATATGCCTACTTCCTCAAGAGCGTTCTTGAGCTGGCTAGATGATGTGAAGGGGATTTCCTTCACGAATTCTGCGATCACCCACTTTAATTGTCTTCTGTGGTCTTCCAGTCTTTTTGGTTTTGCTGAGCTCACCGAATTGTTGATTTGGCCACTCCTAAAATGTCTGCTATCTGTCAGGTGTTGACATAGGTAGGTTTGTTTTGTCTTTTCAGCCTAATGATGGTCTCCACTTGCATCGACACTTCTTGGACCACAGATTGTTCAGATGAACAACAGAGTTCCCATGAACAACTACCAAAATGCAAATTTAGCACTTAAAAATGGCTGTAATCCTGTCAGAATCAGCTCCATGGGTCGCCTCTGCCCCCTGTGTCCAACGTCTGTTCTTTCCTTTGTCTCTCCATACCTGCGATTTTCCATCTGCCCTTCAGATTACTTTTTTCTCTCTCCTTACCAATGTATTTTGTTTCAAATCCATTGTGTTGGTGTACAGAAAATTGTGACACTGTCCAAATACTGTACATTATTAATTATACAACAATGTTTACTTTTAACCTTTACTGATAGAACAGAACAATGAACAACAAATGACAAAAAACAACAAAACCATATACAGTGAGAGAACATTTAGCACAAGTCTAAAACCAGACCATGAAAAGGTTACTCACATCTTCTCCAGGGTCTCCTGGTTCACCATCCACTCCCTAGTACGACAACAGATAACACATTATGAAGATGTTGTTGTGTTACCATTAAGTACGTGTGTTGACCTGCTTGATTATACTCACTCTTTCTCCTTTGATGCCAGCAGCACCTTTGTCTCCTCTGTTACCCTGAATGACAGTAGTTACCATACAGGTTTAATGACAGAGCACTTCACATTTTCACACCGTCTTGTGTCGCTTGCTGAGAGTGAACCTTCAGTGCTAATGGTTTGGTCAGACTCACCTTTTCCCCAGCTAGACCTCTCTCTCCTGTTGTGCCTGGTAGTGTTTGACCAGGAAGACCCTGCATCAATCAGAACCAGGAAAGTACTGTCAGCTGCACTCAGCTTCTCTGTTGTACTTCCTCATATATAGGTTTTTAGTTTTTCATTTCTGGACTAGGCTGCATTAATTGAATATAGTATGCATCTACATTCAATACTTGTATTGCAACAGTCAATGCTACAGCTAAAATAGAAAAATGCAAAAGGTTTATGTAGCGATATCCATGATGCCATTGCCATTTATTCACCTTTTCTCCTTTGAGTCCAGGGGGTCCAGCCACTGCCTGTAAGAGTGCAGAGAAATTTAGAAATGATGTAGTAATACAATTACAAGTGCAGCTTCATACAGCTTATTGATCATGAAAAAACATAAATATGTATTTAAAAAGCCTTGGTGTTCAAATATCATATCAGTCTCAAATATAAATAGGGTTAATGTCTTTGGTAGGGATAAGCAACGAATGCACAACTCCTACTGCTTAACCATTGCACGTCAGAAAACAGCAAATGTTGGAAAATCTAATCTGCTCTGTTGACTATTCAGTTGTACTTGACAATGTTTAAAAGAAAGACCAGGCTGTGATGATTAATTCCAGGTACATTTTGGTTGATTGATTTCTTGGTTTCCCCACATTTCTCTGCACTGTCTTGGCAGAATGACAACTTCCAAGAGAAGTTGCCAGGGTGAAGAATGAATGACTGAGGCAAAGTGGAGGCCCAGCTCTCTGACTCCAAAGAACTGACACTAAAAAATGCCTACAGCTGTATTTTAGAAAGCTTTTAATACTTCTATTATCGAAGCCAAGTGCAACTGTGGATCTGCAAAAATGCAATAACACTTCATCTGTGTGTGTGTGTGTGTGTGTGTGTGTGTGTATATATGAGCAAATGGTGGAATGGGAAAATTCTTACCTGGTTATCTATCAAACTGGTGAACTCACTGACTGTCACTGTGGCTCTGTCCAAGGTGCTGAACCTGAGGCTGTCAGATGCTCGTAGCAATTTGTATCAGCTTTACAAAGAGCAGGGATGACAGTGAATACTGAGAGCCAGACGAAAAAGCTCCATTTTGCAGGGATGAGTTCAACTTTTTTTTTTTTTAAATTCCAGATAGGAAACTGTTTTGTTGTTGTTGATGACTAATGTGTGTCCATGATTGAATAATCATGCTTTGGATGCTTAACTTCACAGCTTCAGCTTGTCTACATGCTACCAAACTAGCATTTTATCTCTGTAGAAGTTGTCCCACATCTGTATGAGCACATCTCTGAATTCCTTTTGAAAGGCTCAGAAAACGCTGCAGTTATAATAAATGTATGTGCTATTAATGACATCATGAAGTCTGGCAGTAACCTGATAAATTCAAGTTCTGCATTACAAAAAGCGATGCTCCAGGCTAAAAAGCTTGATGGCTTGTGGCTCAGACAAGGGGAGATCTGTTGTACCAGCACAGCAACAGCAAATTATATTACAGAGCATATCATTTTACAAGAGAAAGTCCAGTACATGCATAGTTAACTAATAGTTTGGCAGCAGTTTAATAAAAGTTAACAGGCTATAATTAGTCAGTTTAGTGTTCATATCTGCAGTATAATGATATATATATTGAAAATAAAAAAGTTGTATTTATCTACAGTATGTCTAGTAAAATGGGAAGAACAAATTAATTTAGACTCTATATGATGTTGTGACCTTCTCTGTCATTTTCAGTCTCACTGAGCTGAAATTTGACTTAACTGAGATCCAAAGAACAGGCACAGGCTTTGTCAAGCCAAGCCGATCCCTATTAACAGATGTTTGCAGTCATTCAGACACAGACAACTGGCAGGCAAAAATACTTCAGTGTCAGTGTTAAGGTAGTTCATATTTGGAGGTTGAGCACAGTCTACTAAGGTGCCTGTTGCTCTGAGAAACAGTAAAATATTGATGTCTGTGACTTTGTCAGGATAAATGTTTAACCAAAAAATAATTCATTGAAATTCAGTTGATGGTTCTGCTGACCTGAAGATGGGAGCAGCTACACTGGAACAGCCCGCTCTTTATGATTCGACAGTTCCTACCAGTTTTATTATGCTTGATAAAATGATGGGTCCTAAGAGTACAGAGTTATTCCTTTGTGCTGACTGTGACAGACTCCACCACACAATACCCCGAACGAGCACGGCACAATGACACATGTCAAGAGTGCTCTCCAGGCTCTCTTTCTTGTTATATCAAGGGACAGAGTCCAAAATAACGTTCTGACAAACCACAGCTGTAATTCACAACCATTATATCTTACAGATGATTTGAAAGGCATAAGACAATCCAAACCAGCTCATGCCACACTACGGCCTGGTAGAGTGCTTAAATATTACACAAACATTTATAAAAGGATTAAGCTAAAATTCATATTCATGGCTGGCTCCACTATTATTTTTAGAGTAGAAGGCACTACAAGCCTAAACATGGTTTTTCCCCAATTTTGCTTCAATTCTGCGAGATTTGCTCTTCAAATGTCAATCAATAACAGTCACATAACAGAGATATCCCACTGAGACAGCTTGCATGGAGAGATTAAGTTCTTTTATTACTGCCTAATCAGCTCAAAACACTACCAAGAGGCTGGGAATGTTTATGCTGGATATTTTAAATTACAGTAGATAGCTGAGAGGTTTTATACAGATCTATTTTCTCTTTCAACAGCCCAGATAGCAGAGAAAGCTGTATTACCACAGAGTGTTTTGAACATGGATATTGAAGGTAAAATATCAGAGTTTATAGTGACAGCTAGATGTAGCACATAAATCACTAACAATGGGGCTCCTGACGGCACACCATTTGCTGTACAGGCAGCTCCAGCCCCAGGTGGACACCTAGTGCTGTGCATCAGATGAAAACTCTCACAGTAGGAAGCTAATAATACTACATATATTTTTTTATTGCTTCAGGCGGCAAATTGTTCTGTAGCCTGGATCATATCCAATAAAAGCAACCAAAAAACAATTTCATTGACTGTCCTTTTCTCCAGGAGCTGCTCAGTAGGTACATCATGTTCTCACCTTTCCTGGAGGGCCGCTGTCTCCCTGCTCCCCCTTTAAGCCTGACTGGCCTGGAGGTCCAATAATACCCTGAGAAACAAATTTTACAATGATACTGAGGATGACCTGATACACAGTACACACCACATATACACAAGATGCAACACAAACACTGACACATACTGAGGCACACACACACACACACACACACACACACCTGCTTTCCTGGTAATCCTGGTATTCCTTCTTTGCCAGGCACCCCATCTCTACCAGGAACTCCAGGTTTACCTGATTCACCCTGAGGAGCAGGATGCACTTCATTATATGTAATATGTATTTCATAACAAACATGTGCAGTCACATTTACATTTGGGTGTACTAAAGGGGTTTCAAATTTTTCAAAATCTTTGTCTTCACTTCTTTGTCCAATTCACCTTTGACACTATAAAATGATGGATTATGAAGATTTCACACGAGTTTAGGAGTAAATTTACACTTCACATGGGATTGCATACTCACCACCTGCCCTGACAGTCCAGGAGGGCCTTGTGGACCCTGAAGGGAGAAACAAATACAGTGGTATCAAGGAACACAATGTGATACACACCATGAGGTATCCAGTGAATTTTATGAGAAAACATGAAAGCAGTTTTTCCTGAAGAGAAGCTGTGATTTATGAAAACACGTACTATAGCTCCTGGAGGACCTGCTGGTCCTGGCAGACCTGTGCTCCCCTGTGCACCAGGAGGACCCTGCAGAGAGGGGAAACAAGCTCACACACTGTGCTGGTACTAGGAATCTCTTCTCTAAAACATGTAAAAGACTGCTGTAGCTGTTTTACCTGGACACCAACACCTGGTTCTCCTTGATTACCCTGTGAAAAGCAAATGTTTCATGACTTTGGCCAGCAGGTAACAAACAAAACAATTCAAACATGCAGTAACAGGTAGCCCACTGAAATGTTAAAACTGTAGGGAACTCACCTTCACACCCGGTGGACCTGGAGGCCCATTGGGACCCATGGGGCCCTAATTAAAACACAACTCAACATGTAAACTGCTGTTGTAATTGTAAATAATAGTTTGTGAATATGTATGCATGCTTCATCATGTGTGATACTTACTGTTGGCCCTCTTATGCCAAGCTCTCCTGGGTTTCCCTATGAGTGAAACATATACTGTACATTCACACATAAAATACACACAGGCCATATTTTAAAGGTATATTTTTACATCTTGAAAAAACTTATTTGCTTTCTTGCTAAGAGTTAATACCACTTATATTTGTCATTAAATATGACTGCAACAAGTTGTTTTTACACTATATTGTACAGATTAAACAAACAGATATAATGTGTTCATTTGTGAGCATTGGAAGTGCTTTGGGTGGGGCTAGCTGTTTCCCAGTTACAAGTCTTTATGCTATCTTAGCTAAACTCATTGGCTGCTGTCAGTAGCTTCATATTTAATGAACAGACATGAGGGTGACGTCAATGTTCTTATTGAACTCTTGGCAAGAACACCAATAACTGTATTTCCTAAAATGTCAAAATATTCCTTTAAGTGACATATTTCATAAATATGTTTAGAAAATTGATCAAAGAGTTCAAACATTTATGGACTCAATATGGACAACATGGAACTATAACATAAGTAATACACAGAGACTGATTGGCATGAGCTTCTCTCTAGTTGACACAAATACTGTATACAAACACAAACATCTGACTGACGCATCACAACAGGCAGGACAATACAAACACAAAGAGACACACACATGGTAAACTGAAAATCAGTGCGATGCAAGGGATAAACACACAACAGACAGCAGGCACAGCTGCATGCACCATAAGCAGACTCAAACGAACTGACAACACAGTATTTTTTGGGGTTAGTATTCCCCCTACTATTGTACATTGGATCCTGGCCAGAGCTTGATCTCAGGATGTCAGCTGACTTCCTTTCATATCCTCAAAATCTGTGGTGTTTTACACATTTATAATTCAACTTCAAAATTCAACTCTTGAGTTTGACACAGATGCTTTGGGGACAGGTGGCCTTGATCAATATTTGATGAGGAACCGATCAAGTTCTAACTCTTATCCCAGTCCCCAGCTCCCAGAGGGATGTTTCCAATACAAATGAATTAAGATTTAAATGGTGGAAGGTTCATGACGGTGTGAGCATTCTGATGATAGGTTGCTCAAGTCTCCTGGTGCTAAATGCAGATACATCTTTCATGCTACTAGTTGTCTGAGCTAAAACACATATGTATCTCCTCATCTTTGGTCCACTCCCACTTGTATCTGATACCACATGGACAGGTTCTCCCAACCCTCCTTTTTCCAAAGCTCAAGCATGCCAGCCAGCAGCAGAGAACCTACCGGTCTGCCTAGAACTCCTGGGAACCCAGGCAGGCCCTGGGGAGGATGAAAGAGGGAGGAAGGTAGATGGCAGGACAGTGGGGAGACAGGTGGGTGGAGAACAGTGTTGGAAGAGGGGAACAAACAACACAGAAAAGGAAATGGACAGAGATGAGGAGAGAGAGGAAGTTAGAGAGTGAGGCGTTAGCTGCACAGCTGCAAAAGGTTACTGTCTAAAGATCTATGAAGCCTCAGCCCAAGGAGGGGAAAAGAGAGCTCCATCGGCTTCGTGCTTGCAGCCAACCCAATGGTTTTACTCTGCAGGTCAAGCCTAAGAGAAGGCCCCTTAGCTGGGTTACTGGTTACTCACTGGTTGCCCTCGAGGACCAGCGGGCCCTGTTGGGCCCTACTCCAACATGGAGGGAAGGAAAACGAGAAATGTGAGGAAGTGTCTAATATCTCCCCTTTTTTCTCTTCATATTTATTCATGCGTCCACACAAACAATTATGACTCACATCATTTCCCGACAGTGTGTTTGGGCTTTTAATAATTACTGTGAATGGTATGGTCAGGGACAAGATGAAACCTTAACATGTCCATTGATGGGAACTGGAATCCTGCTGGTTTCATATTTTTTAAAATGTAAGCAGGAGCAGGGTATTTTTTGTATGTATTAACACTCTTACGCTTAAATAGCGCCACATTGTAAGTTAATGAGTAGAACAGTACTATATTATTTACTACAACTATACAGTATACAGTTGCTTTCATAAGATAAAAACACACTTACCAAGGCTGTTGAAAGAAATATTCACTGCATGTGTACACAAGAAATTCAGCACTATATTGTGCTCTACGAAAATTAAAAATTTGAAAACACAGTATCATCAATATCAGTTTCACCTTCAGAAGTATAACTTAGCCTGCCTGGACCCAGTGCTCTACTCACCGGTTTCCCATCCTGACCAGGTTTCCCTGGTTCTCCTGGTGTTCCCTGAAATTACAAACCACATATTGCTTCTTCTAAGAAAAGTTATAATTTTGCATGAGGTCTTCAGAGCCTGAGTAAAACATTAAAAGAAGAGTTTGGCATTTTGGGAAATATGCTTATTCATTTTCTTAAGTTAGATGAGAAGATTGGCACATAACCCATTATAAATCTACAAATTTGTTTTTACACTTCAGTTTCTGTACAGAAACAAACAAGACAATATGTGTTAATTAGTGAGCTTTCCAAGTGCTAGTAGGAAAACTGCATTACTTTCAGACAGAGCAAGCCTAACTGTTTCCCCAAACTATTTCTTCTTATCTCTTCTCATCTAAAGGTAAATAAATGTATTTCCCAAAATGTCAGTGTCAATGTCATTTAAATGAAAAGGGTTTGTAGTGAAAATTGATTTTTTTGATTGAGTGAGTTTGTGATTATCAAAATATTTTTATCTAGACTACATCTGAGAACCAGCTCACCGATGAGCCATCACGTCCTTTTTCTCCAGACTGTCCTCTGTCTCCTTTATCACCTCGAGATCCCACAAAACCCTTTAAGACATATTACAAAGCTCATGACATGATGTATAATATGAATATGTTATTTTGTATGATTTGTATTATGTGTAAATTTTACCTGGTCTCCTTTGGGTCCTGGGGTTCCTGTTGCACCAGGCTCTCCCTTCTGTCCTGCAAGCCCTGGAGGACCTCTCACCCCAGGCGTGCCAGTCAGTACTGAATCAGCAGATGCTCCCTACAGCGCACGCACACACACACACACACACACACACACACACACACACACACACACACACACAAATGTCTTTTAACTCCATTATACATCCTATATTTCATAAATATAATATCACAAGGGGGTTTCACTTCATCAGCAATAATGATGAAAAGCAGTTTACCTTTTGACCCGGTGGACCAGCTGGCCCTGTTAGCCCGATTTTTCCCTGACAAAAAGACAGAAATTCTCAGTTGATAGTGAAGATGTTTGGCTAAGACATGACTGTCGACTACATCGATCTAACATGAGCACTTACAGCTTCTCCTTTGTCACCTCTCTCTCCCCTCTCCCCCTGAGATACACACAGACATGATATTAGCACAGTCACGTTGAGTCCAGGAGAACATTTTAATTTGTTGACATCCAGCTCTTTACTTTACCTTATCTCCTGGTCTTCCAACCTCCCCTAGTTCCCCAGCTCGCCCAGGTACACCCGGTATCCCTGGCTTGCCTGGCTCCCCTGCAGGCCCTGGGGGCCCCTCTGGCCCTCGTTCTCCAATGGCTCTTCCAGGAGGCCCCGTTCCTCCCATGGGTCCTCGCTCCCCTTGTTCACCTTTTGCTCCCCTATCTCCCGGAAGACCACGAGCACCCTAGAATTCAACAGGAAATGAAAAGAAAAAAAAGTTTAAAAAAAATATTATAATGATTCAAAATAATTGAATTAGGTTAATACACAGTACATAAATAAGAGACTCACATCTACACCAGATGGTCCTCTCTGTCCTGGTTCCCCCCTGTCTCCTTTTTGACCTCTTTCTGCCTCCTGAGCTAGTCCTGTGTTCGTCCTTTGCACAACCACCTTCAGATCAGACAACTGTGTGGAGGACAGAAAAGGGAAATGGTTGGCATGAACTTGCATCTACAGGTGCCTGTCTATGAAATCCCTTTCAAGCTCATTGGACCAGTAACCAAGTCTTGTAATCAGTATCCTTTGGGTCACTTTCTTTTTTTCAAAAATGTAAGGTCTAACGGTCATTTTAAAATGTACTCTGAGAATATTAAATGAGGGTAGTAAACTCTTCCACACTGTGGACTAGGGTTAGTCAAAGATCTACGTCAGGGATTGGTCTACATCTGTGAAAACAAACCATACACGCGGTTATGGTTTTAAACTACTGCCTGTCCCATTTTTATAATGTCAATATACCAAGAGCCAGTCCTATATTTGGCCATGGTAACTCCATTAATCCATTTTTACTGGACTGAAGACATTTTTGTTTCTCCAAACTAATTAAGCTGTTAAAAAAAAAAAAAAAGAGCTGAACTTGAGTTATAAATATAACTAAATATATCTGCATAAATATAAATGGATAAATTAATAAACTTTGCACAAGTTCCAGGAAATTTTCCATGAGCAAGACCATTATGCCAAAATATTTATCCATAATAGACCTATGAGTAAGAAGTGATATTAAAGCTGTTTGGATATTTGTATGTGTTACTGAGCAGAGCACGTGAGTGGAGTGGAGCTGTGAGAATTTCCTCTACTCCACTCCAGGTCACTATGCTCAATATCGTTTCGCACTCAACACAGATTTCACCCCGCTCCACTCAAATTGCTCCCTGCTCGCTCCCAAAGAACAAAACACCTATGTTGTATTGTATCATTAAGCTACACCCTCATTAAGTTTAAATCCAATGTTAAGATCTATCAACTGCACTTAAATCTATCTTCTTACATAACATAAAATACTGGAAACTAGAAATCTTTCAACACCTTTAAAGGCCCAGCAAACATTTTACAGAAAGATTGAACTGCACATCATAATTGTGTGGAGTCCACATACCTGAATACCAAGGCCTGCCAGAGCCTTCTGTACATCCTGGTGAGAGACATACAGAAACATCATTCAACTGATATGAAAAATATTGAAAATAAATGATTCCACAAGTCACAGCTCAGTCATCGCAGATGACACTGATGTGTTACCGCTCTCAATCATTGAAACGACAATGTAGAAAAGAGCAGAAAAGGGAAGCTAACTAAATCTACTGTTACCCACAACACTCTTATGTCAAACTACAAGAAAGCATTAAAAGATGCAAGGCCAGCATATTTTTCTGGCATAATATCCAAAAACAATCACAACACCAGAGTCTTATTTAATGTAATCAGTTCTGTTCTTGCATCCAAAAATGACTAGATATTACATACTAGAAATTTAATTGTGAAAATATAGGGCATTCGGTCGCAAATTTCGCCCAAAAACCGAAATCTTTCTTCCATTTCCTTGTTTTAAACCATTCACATCTCAACACTAGATAAAATAATTTCTCAAATGAAATCCTTTACCAGTGGTGTTGATTATAATAAGTTCTTTACTCCAATGTTGGTCATTTTAGTGTTCTAATCATTAGCAGTTTTCTTCCCTCTTATAGTTTTCCCACTTGTTTTAAACAATGCAATCCTTCAACCCTTACTGAAAAAACTTAAATTGGACCCCCTATTACTCAATAATTACAGACTAATTTCTAAATTATCATATTATTATCATATTCTCTTGCAACATCAATAAACCTGGGTTGGTCTCAAGGGAACTGCTTCAAATCTACTACATTCACACCTCTCCAAACCAACCTTCTCTTTTGTCACAGCAAATGCCTCTTCATCTGTTGCTCATTTTAATTGTGGTATTCCTCAAGGCTCTATCCATACCCCCTGCTGTTTTCAAGATACATGCATCTTCTCAGATCATTCAGTATCTCCCACCAGTCTAACACAGATGATATGCAGTTATATGTCCCGCTTCAAACCAATAACCCCAGCAGCTTTGATAATCCGTTTGCCTGTCTCAGTAATGTTAAATGTTGGATGTCCCAAAATGTTTTAAAATTCAATGACACTAAGTCTGAGGTCATAATTGTTGATCCCTCAAATTTTACCAGCCTGCTTCTAGTAAACTTGTTTCCTTGACCAAAAACAAGCAATCTTGGAGGTATTTTTTGATGCAGATCCCTGTTTTGATGCTCAAGTGAAAAATGTTGTCCAGCCAAAATCAGATCATTCCTGTCCAATGTTGATTTACATAAGGGTCATATATGCCTTTACTTTCACCTGTCTTGACTACTGTAATGCACTTTATGCTGGTATCAGTCAGAGCTCCGTTCACCCACTACAGCTGGTACAGACCGCAGCTGCACAGATGTTAACCAACACCAACCAGCGATATGAACACATTACTGTGGTACTTGACAACTTACAATGGCTGCCTGTTATGTTCCACATTGATTTTAAAATTCGACTTATCACCATTTAGCATCAAATGGCCTTGCTCTAAGTTAAATCAAGGACTTATAAACCCCTTCTATTCCTGGGTGTTCACTTAGATTGGTGGATGGAGCTCTGCTGATTATTTCTAGGTCTACCTATTGTGATGAGACAGGCGACATGTTTAGTCTTTTAAAACTCTTGTTAAACAATCTTCAACTGGAAAACTTTCATGAATGTTTCATATGTTGTTGTGTTTTATTATCCCACTATAATGACATATATTTTCATGTCACTTTATTATTATTACCACTGCTGTCCCAGGTTTGCCCGGTGCCCCATCCTCTCCTGGGTCACCCTGCCAATAAAAAGGTATCAAAGTATCAACACAAAACACTTGATGCCTTAATCATGTCACATTTTCAGTATAATAGGAAAGGAAGAACTTACAGCGTCACCTTTAAGGCCAGGAGCGCCTCTCTCTCCCTGTGCAAAGAAAGTTAGGTGAGAAAAACTAAATGGTTACTAATCTAAACCAAACTGACATCTATAAAGACATCTTAGACTTACTCTGCCTCCCACAGCTCCCGGGATGCCAGGGACGCCCTGAGGGACAGAGCAAGGACAATGATAAAAAACATCAACAGATAAGACTGTGGGAGGGATAAAGTAGCATACGGACATAGATGTAGATAAAACAGACTAAAACGACTCAGAATGCTGTAAAATCATGCACACTCACAGGGGTTCCTGGAGGCCCCTGTGGGCCTGGGATTGATGCTGCTGCAACTCCTTTCACATACACAACCTGAGAGACAGTGCATAGATTAGTAATGACAAACTATCATTCCCATTCATAATACTTTTTTAAATGTGTCAACATCAGATGCACCTGTCCAGGAGGACCAATGCCGCCAGGTACCCCAGGTGACCCTGGAGGACCAGAGGGGCCTACAGGCCCAGAAAGGCCCCGATCGCCTTTCAGCCCATCACGGCCCTGGAAAACATGCAATTACACAACTGAGACTTCACGTTACTTCCTTCTGTGCTATAGTAGAGGCTGAATTAATATGAATTTGCACATGAAAACAGCACACTGACATTTGGCCCTCTCAGAAGTGGCTCACCCTTAAAGGCTAAGCTTGGTCATTAGAGGCTAGTGAATTTATACAGCTGCTTCTGAGAAGACTATTGATTCAACAATGTCAATGTCAGAGAAAGATACAATTGATAAACACACACTTGTGAGGGAAAGTGATGAAGCGAAAAGAAAGGAGGAAAGCTGATGTGTATTATAATAAAGTCAAGGAAGTCAGGATCAATACAGAAACAAAATGACAACAGAAATACATTAGGAGAAGAATAACATGAAGGACATTAGGCAAACTAACATCTCTTCCAGCTGCTCCTGCTTCTCCTTTGTTACCCTGTAGATTAAAGAAAGCAGTGTCAGATTACAAGTAGAAATACAGGCATAATAAGAACAATCTTCATAATAGTTCTAATAGTTTACTTAAATAAAATAAAATAAAATAAAATAAGGCTGGTCATATCTTGCGTCATGATTTTTTTGTCTTCCTAAAAGTGTCTATTTTGTTTTTACATGTCATGTAGAATTTAAAGCATTATTGAACAATCAAAACAATGCCAATATTTTGTTAAATATGCTGCACTTTAACAGGCTTTTGTGCATGACAACATTGAGAAAACACTGAAAAAATAATAAATTAGACATAGATATAATATAATAATATTGCTGCTGTTAGTCACCGAAAATTAATTTTGTTAGGTCATATCCTGAAACACTCCTTAACTAAAACTCATCCTGCCAGTGTGAGGTGATCTTATAGCCTGATAAACAGCCACAAACCTTTCTCCCATCTTCACCTGGCACTCCATCCTCACCCTGTAAGTCAAACCAAAGTGCATTATGGGCTGTACAGAAACAAACTAATGGCCAGTCAGTTGAAGGAGCACTCAGATAATTTAGTACCACTGTTTTAGAGGCTCACTTAAGACGTCCATTATACAGCAGACCCTAAAATAAATGTCTGCACTGCTTTTGATCAGGAAACATTATTCACAGGAAAGAGTATGTCAAGTCCATTACCAATTAGAGAATGATAGAGACACAGTGGGAGAAAAAATATACACTACTGATTATATTCATACTCTTACTGAACAGAATCAATATCAAAATATGTCGATCAAATTACTAAAAATGATGTAACCTGTCATATTACACTATGTAAAAGAAGAGTTTATTATATTCAGGATGCAGGAGCATGCCAGCTGAGAAAGGTTCTAGTAAGGAGGTACCATTTTGCCAGGTGACCCAGGTTTGCCATCTTCACCTGCTTTACCCTGAAATATAACAAGGATGACAATACACAGAGTTATCAAACTGTGTGTGTGTGTGTGTGCGCGTGTGTGTGTGCGTGCGTGCGTGCGTGCGTGCGTGCGTGCGTGCGTGCGTGCGTGCGTGCGTGCGTGCGTGCGTGCGTGCGCATGCATGCTCACGGGTATCCCTGAAGTGCCTGGAGGCCCAACAGGCCCTGGGGGGCCCTGTTCCCCTCTAAGTCCTGGTAAACCCTGGTAAAAAAAGACCAGCACACCCCGTGAATGGTTTAGTTACAGTAAATATTTGGCAAGCTGAAGCTGATCTAAATTTACTCAATTGCAATTAAATGGGTAGCATTTTTACAACTTCCAATAAAACTAAACATGTATAGCAGATTTATCAAACAAGCAGATCTCAGAAATTCTAACTACACTTTGTTTTGGTTGTATAGCAGCAGTTGCAGGACTGTCATGTACATATCACCCTATAATACAAGATTTAGACTCTTTAACTGAACTTAAGTTGTGTAGTAGTGCATTTCTACATTCATTTGTTTCTGTATCTATTTAACTATTTATGTATTTGTTCATTTATTTATTTACATATTATTATTTATTGTGACAATTAATTCAATTCTATTTGTATAGCACCAAATTATAACATACATTATCTCAAGGCAATTTACAAAGTAACCATACACTATTATAAAGAGAAACCCATCAGTTCCCTCCATGAGAAAGTACTTGGTGACAGGAGAGGAGAAACTCTCTTTTAACAGGAAGAAACCTCTGACAGTGCCAGACTGCTAATTAAATAAATCTAAAAATACACGAATAAATAAATGCAAAAAAGAAAATTCATTGTGAAAAGGTTTTGATCATGCATTTATTTATTTATTTATTTTGGCATTTATTTATTTATTATTACTAATGTCATTTTTTGTCCTTCATATAAAACTGGTCTGGCCAAATTTCTTTAGAGACAACTTTCTCTACAGTTGGCTTATACAACTGGCCACAGGAGTGGAGCCTGAATTTTAACATCTTCACAGTGCCCTCTGCAGCATGTATAGTTAAAGTGCACTTACGTGGTGGCAGTTCAGGGCAGATGAGTTTTTACTAACAATGTGTGATTTAAACAACTTAAAGAATTACCAATCTCACTACTAAAGTGGGCATGAAAAAATATTAGTATTTATTATGAAATGATTACTGAGAACACTGGAAAAAGGAAACTCACATCTCTCCCAGGGTCCCCCTGCTTCCCAGGATCACCCTTTAACACACACACAAAAAAAAATACAATGCATCAGCTACAGACACATTCACCATCCAATGAGACTCTTCATGCTGTTTTATAATTTTGTGAATAGATGGCAGAAAGAGAAGTACCCTCTGTCCAGGTGGTCCAGCTGCACCTGGTTTACCATCCAGACCTGGACGTCCATCTAACCCGGATGCACCCCTTTCTCCCTGATCACACAGAGATTTAGAGTTAACACAGTCTGAAACTGTACTAGAACAGTTAAAGTGGCTCACTGAGGCTTTCTTCCAGCCCCTCTGCGACTCTATGCCCTTCACCAGAAAATCCTTCCAGTTTATTCAACATTGGTAAAATTACACAGGTCAGTACAGAACAATGTAGGTGAGATTATAGGGATGATGTCATATTGATTGATTTCAAACCTTCTCTCCAGGTGCTCCTCTTTCTCCTGTGTCACCCTGGAAATATTAGAGGTGAAAGTGAGCAATGAGAAAATGATTCAAATATTTACACGTATCTACTGTACTTATGAGAATTGAAGTAGAGATGCAATGACAGAAAGCAAACTCACTCTTGTGCCTGCAGGCCCCCGTTGTCCCTCAGGACCCTTTATAGTCAGCAGGGAAAGAACAAGAAGTCACAAAGGATCATCAGTCACATGTAACAAATCAAAAGGGAAAGGGGTCAGTGTATATACAGATGCATATACAGCGGCCTATCAGATGCTCACAGAAGCATTTACAAATTGCAAGAATGGTGCAAACTCACTCGTAGGCCTGGGGCTCCGGGAGTCCCTGCTTCGCCTTTCTGACCTTTGCTGCCATGCTCTCCTGGGTCACCGGCATCGCCCTAGGAATCACAATGACGTAAGTTGTTTTAGCTGTGCTACTTATTTTATAATCCAATTAATTTTCATATTGTTTTAACTTTGAGGTAATCATGACATGGTGATTTTAACAGCTGTGATAAGGAGGATACAAATACGTCTATAAGAACAGTGCATACTTTCTCTCCTCTCTCCCCTCTCAGCTGGCCTGGGATGTCAGCCTGTAGTGGAGAACAAACATGAAGGATCACATGTATTTCTGCCTCCTTTGTGTTATTAGAGTTGGATTGTAGTCTATTCAATGTTAAGAACATGCTGGAGAGTTTTCTCAACACTAGTTTACTATGGTTATTATTTTGTTTTTAACATATGGTGACATGTGATATACTCACCACTTTCCCTGGTGGCCCTGGTGGCCCTTGAGGTCCCTTGAAGCAGAGAAGTTTGTGAATCCACTTACAGTAGATACAGCCCAAAGTTAAATAAGCACTTTGTAGAAGTTAAGACAACAAACCTGTTCTCCTTTGTCTCCTCTTAGTCCTGTAGGTCCAGGGCTGCCCTATGATTGAACAAAGATCAGTAAAGATGCTGAGCAACTGACCTTCCTCACTGTTTCTTCTCTCAAGGCCTCAGTGGAATCGCACAAGAGCATATTGTCTGTATGATGATGCATGAAATGTGTGCCTCACATTTCGTCCATGCTCTCCAGGGTCTCCCATGTCTCCTTTCTCTCCTGGTCGTCCGGGCTGACCAGCCAGTCCCTGAGGGTAGTCAATAAAATGTCCATTAAGTGAACTTTCCATTAAGGGGACACTGGGTAGTTTAAAGTGTTAACAGAACCTGACTATATATGTGTCAAAAACGCTTGACTTACCCTCAGTCCTCTTTCTCCTGGTTTCCCTGGAAGTCCAGACTCCCCCTGATGAAAAACAAGTTCATAACAGAAAAGACATTGATAGGCATACATTTGTGCAATGGCACCATGTAAGAAATATATTCTATCTATTCAACAAAAACAAAATGAAAGTGAGTATCTAAAAAAGAGGAATGGATATAGTAAGAAGAAGAGATTATACTCACAGGAGTGCCTTCATCACCCTTCTCTCCTCTCCCACCCTGTTAATATAAGCATGAATAATTCAATGAATTTAACTGTCAATGGCATTAAATTTCAAAATCTACCACATCAGGTGAATAGAGGGTCAGAACTGATAAAAAGTTACAAAAGACGACAAAATTGCATATCATACACACAAAGTGTTGGATTGTTTTTACCTCTAAAATTGCATCTTTGGAAAGAGTTGCATGTTGGAAGAGAGAAGATAAGCTTAAGATGCTGTTTAATCTTCGATTACAGCTGAGTTAGCAACATGAAATAACACAAACAGCTTTTTACAATACTGTCATCTAGAGTATTCCTTCACTGAGCGAAGAAAACCAGTGAAAGAAAGAAAGTAAGGACTTACAGTAGAAACTAAAATGTAACACAAGGGCTGGACAATATGGTTGATATCATTATGAGGATACTAATTAACACGGATATTTATCCGCCAAATTATAATCATTAATCATTAATTTGAACAGCAGAAATCTGTACAATGATAAGATCACCATGGCTGCAACTTACACTCACTGTCATTACCAATTAATTTGCCAATTTTCTTTATTAATAGTTTGGTCCAATAAAATTAGTGAAAAGTGTCCTTTTCAATTTCCCTGAACCCAAAGTGACATATTCAAATGGTTTTGTTTTGTCCACCCAAGAACAATGAACAATGATCATGTTGGTCAATGAAGAGTAACACTGAATTATCACCCAGCCCCACTCACTACTCTTGATAAAGGTACTGTTGAAGAGTGAACTGTGTGACTCCACTTTTTTAAGTATTCATACACAACTCTGACCTCTTTCCCAGGAAGACCGGGCTTTCCTGGGATTCCTGGGCGCCCATTCTCCCCCCTCTCCCCCGGTTCACCGGCGTCTCCCTAAAGAACAGTTTCAAGACCAGTTTAACAATCAAATAAATACAAATAAACAGAAAGGCTAAAGAAAACACAGCCGGCCTCTCACCTTGCCACCTGGCCTTCCACTGATACCAGCAGGTCCCTGAGGAGGGGAGCACATGTTTTATGTATTTTCAGTTTGTGCGGTTTTGGGGCACGACTTACACTGACAGGTGGCACAAGGGAATGTTTCATCAATAATAGATGCTATTGTCAGGAATATAATCACAGCAGCTGTAGATATTATGATTGTGCCATTTATAGTTCTGATAAAGAGGTGTTAACTATGGTTTAAGTGTGAACTTACTCGCTCTCCCAGCTCTCCTTTAGGTCCAACAACACCTGACCCTCCTGACCCTGAAGACCCCTTTGAGAATGACAGAAAAGCAAATGTCACTTGGATATACAATATGGCAGATTGTAAGCATGCACACTAACAATCATACACACACAAACAATTGGAAATTTTAAGGCATTCTCATCCAGGGGTTGCTCACTTTCTCTCCTCTCTGTCCAGGCTCTCCTTTTTCTCCCCTCTGCCCCTCGGAACCAGACAAACCCCGCTCCCCCTGTGGGAGAACAGCAAAAGAAGGGAAGCCAATCAGACTGAAGAACGGCGGAGTCCAGTGAGCTTTGTTAAAATGATTATTTATATAAGAATAGCATTTGACACCTTACCTGTTCCCCTTTCTTTCCTGGGAAACCTGGAGTCTGCATGATTTGAATGATACAGTAAAGACTATCACACAAAGACTGTCATGGACATTAAGTTGATATTCAAAATGAAAGGACAGATGAATTAATATATGTAACGATTTTTTCTTATCTGTGGACTCACGCTTCTTCCAGGCTCCCCTCGTGCTCCGTCATTTCCCTGGTAACAGACAGGCTCACTTGTTCTTTCATGTTTGCTTGGAGATTTATTCCATCAGATTATGAAACATTTAGCTCTCATTGATTACCCTTAATTAAATCAGTCTCACCTTTTCTCCTGGCAGTCCACTGGGCCCTGGTAAACCCTGATGACAAATGGAGAGACTCATTCATGAGACTATTGATGCATTTATAACACTCAGACCATGCAACAAATGTGAAATCAAAAGCCAATACTACATGATAGTCTGTCACTCACTCTCAACCCTGGTGTTCCTTGGAGGCCTGGCTTCCCTGGGTCCCCCTGATAAGACAACATTATTCATAAAAAGCATAAAATCCAACTAAAAGGAAAGGATGCCAACAATTTAAATCATTTAAATCTAAAAAATAAGCACTGCACTCACTCTCTCCCCAGTTTCACCAGCCGGTCCTCTCTCGCCCTGCAAAGAGACACGTGCAGAAAGATTATTGTTTTCTAAGTGAAATTTGCCTGGTATCCCCCTTCATGAGCACATGCATGTGCATTAAGCTGCATTGTCTGTGACTGACATTTACTGTTGTAAATGTCTGGAGACACTCTTCTTCTTTGATTGTCTGATTTATTCATGATAATATCTACATCTTACAAATAAGAGTTGCAGCCATTGTGAAATTGTACTTACTGTAAATGTGATCCAGTTACTTGGGACAGTCCGTTGCAAGCAATTATTATCAGTTTCTTAATTTGCATCTACAAATGACTATTACGTGGGAAAAATCAAAGGATTTCCATACAATGTAAACATGTTTTTCTGATAGAAGCCTTTAGTTACCAACAGTTACCACAGCTTTCTACTCACTGTGCACAAGTATGACCATGATGTTGCACAGACACACATTAGACCATGGAGCAGACATTAAAGCTACCTCTCTGTTCAGCTACAAACAAGTTCACTGCAGCATATTAAAATGTGTCTGTGTCTCCACCCTGTCTCCACCCTTTTCAAACCAACATTTTTAACTTGAGCTTTTCAGACCTATATGAGCTTGATGAGACTTACATATTGGTCAGAGAGATTAATATTAATCTCTCTTAATATCAATATTGTACTGCTGTTACGATAAACTAACATTTAAAGCTCATAAAAGCCTCACTCATTATATTGTGCACACACACACAAACAAAAAAACACACACACACACACACACACACACACACACACACACACACACACACACACACACACAGGTACATACTTGACTGTTCCACTCACCCTGTCTCCTTGTGATCCAGCTTCACCTGGCTGTCCTCGGTCACCCTATCAGAACAGAGAGTGACAGAAGTCATTCCTCTATTTACACCTAACACCACAAGTGATTTTTCTTACCTTTATCTTACCTTGCTGCCAATCTCTCCAGGAGGCCCACGGGGACCCTGTAAGACATGAGCAAAATGCCTAAACATTAATTTATCAACTGCCCCAGGGATATTATGTTTTAGTTCAGTTTAATTATGTGTCTAACTGTTAAGAGGATATCTCAAAAATGACATATGAGGTTTCACTGAAAGTTCTGCAAAGACAGAATGGATTAGTTTTAACTGTGGCTAGTGCCACCATGTGGCCATTTTGAAGTACTTTGTACTTTTGCTCAGGGATTCTATTTCTTCTTGAGCTAACACATGTCTATCCATAATGACCACAAATTTTATGACATATTTTGCCGTTTTGTCCAGTATTTACCAAATGTAATGCATAACACACAGCATGTGCATGACCCTGAAAACCACCTCCTCTAACTCTTTTGTAACTGTTATAGCCTAATTGACATAAGTTACATTGATAATTGAAGTCACTGTGCAATTGCAGCCATATGTTAATGATATATGCACAAATAAACTTTGTGAGATCCTGCGACTATAATTGAACCCAAAGCATTATGATGTATTCAAATAACCACAATACATCTGCCAGTAGTCCCCCTTGAAATGTGGCAGAAATCATCCTTGTAAAAACTGAAGAACTCTCAGCATTTTGGGATTCTGCAAAAAGCAGTAAGATTGTCCTTTACTATGTGATGCAGATTTTAAAAAATTGAGAGAACAAATTTAGAGGATGGTACAACCTTAGCAGGGGTATGTACTATCAGTGCTGAGAAGTATTTACTGTATTTATACTCTGCAAAAACTGGATTTAGTATCATACCATCAGCTATCTTCATAAAACTACTTTGTCTCTGACATACCCTGTCCCCAGGCTCTCCTTGCCTGCCTGGAGGTCCGGCCAGCCCATCAGCACCGTCGCCCTGAAAAACAACCTTAAGTCATTTCTCTGAGATAAACACTTCACATGCTCAACCACTCGTATACTGGATCAATCTGCAGCTACCTTGTCTCCTTTGCTGCCCTGAGGTCCTGTTGGCCCTGTAGGACCTTGAACCCCTGGAGCTCCTGGAGTACCCTGATGATAAAAATGTAATTAGTAAATGCAAAATACAAAGATGTATACTCATCTGGGTGTGTGTCAGCACATCATCAGTGATTGACAGCGCTTACTGAGGAGCCCTTCTCGCCCTTCACAGCCACCCCGCTGCCTACTCCTGGAGGTCCCTGTCAGCAAAGAGAGATAAGAGCTGAGAATCATTATGTTTGCATGCTCCTCCGGATATTTCTGCAGTGAGAGGACAAGCTGGTGATAGTGTGACTCACCCTCTCTCCTGAGCTGCCCTTGTCTCCCTGCAGAAACAGAGACAGAGAGACAGAGACAGAGAAGACAAGAGACTTTATCGTCATTATACTGCTGTGCAAAACAACAACACAACAAATTTAAATGGCACTCCCTGAGTTCAAAATAATATCAAAAACAATTCAGACAATAAAAAAAGTCACAGAAAGAGCAAGGGGATGAACACTGTTGTCACAAAAGCTTCTCTATGATAACCTACCCAAGAAGCTGATCTGTATACACACATAATCAAAGGTCGATTCATACACAAACTACATTTACCACCTGGCCCTTGTATACCTCTGCCAACCAGTCCAGTTACAGTTCATATTCATCTCTTTCTCGAGTCAAATAATAGACATAGTGACAACTTTGAAGGAATTTAGTGTATTTTATCATAATTAGCATATGTATTCTTGAGTTAAAAACGTGTTTTGTAATGTCATTGTGACCTTGACCTTAAGCAAACAACATCTAATCAGTTAAAACTTGAGTCCAAGTGAAAGCTGGAAGGAGAAAGAATTCCATCAAGGCATTCTTGAGATATCACATTCACTTTTTTTCATTACTGAGGACTTGAAAACTTATCTAATGCTAGTTTGAATGAGTTGGTGAATTAATTGGAACAAGAATCAAAATCTCAACATTTGTATACAAAGCAATTAATTTGTCAAGACAACAGTCAACTAACAACTGTCTTGACATGTGTTTGTATTAGAAATACCCTCTGTATCTGTCTCAAATATCACATAAACACATTGGTTTCTGGATTCACTGGAAAATATAAAAACTGTTAAATTCAAAATGATATTGTGTAAGAAAAACAACCGCTAAAATCTGAGATTTGCATGCACATACAGTAAATGCTTGAGCCTCCACTGAAGAAACATAAAAGTGGCTCAATGCTACCATCATGTGTGTGTGTCTGGCAATAACAGTTTCATCTTGGAACAATGACCAAAACACTCCATTAAGAATTCATTAAGGTCGCTAAAATACCTCAACAAACCTGTGGAAAAGTTTAACACAAATTTATTTTGAAGTGTATGAAAATTTAAATGACAGCATTGAGTGAGCATATTACTTTATCAAAGATCTCAAAATCCCATCTGTCATTACAATAATCTAATAATAGTATAATATCCAAGAATAGTCAGTGCCTACTCATATAATAATAATAATAATAATAGCCAAACTTTATTTGAATGGAAAACCGCTCAGTGCAGTTTAGAAGAGGGTAGTATTTTCAATTTTAAGTTTTAATTTGTATCCTGTACTGGGTAAAGTGTGTGAGCTCATAAATGAGATAAACATATTTTCAAATGAAAATCTTGCCCGGTACTGCTTTGAAAAAGGTTTATATTTACAAGTAGAATTCTTCCAGATCTGATGTTAATATCTTTCAGTTAGAGATTTTGGCATTACTTTCTAAATTGAGTGAACTGGAGTGAAGCAGAGAAGGAGGCAGACCTTGATGGAGAGTCCTGGTGTTCCTGGTATCCCTGGGCGACCATCCTGACCTGATGACCCTGGAACTCCAGGTGCCCCTTTAATCCCGTCACTGCCTGGCCGACCTGGAGTACCCTTCATATAAAACAAACACACTGGTTAACATATAGAAACGAAGGCTCATGATTCTTTAATCACAACATCCAAAGCATCTCGAAAGCTACACCAGGTCATCAGTTGAGTGTGGAAGGTTTATGTGTGTTAGGCCCACTGTGGGATTTAGGTTGACCATACAAAACAAATTTAGAACTGTGATGATCTGTCTTATGGTTGTTTAAGAGCATTGACTTTCGAGTTTGTTTCTTACCGGTATCCCTGGAATGCCTGGTTCTCCCTTCCTCCCCGGAAGACCCCCTCCAGATATAGCTGAGCCTGGTTCACCCTGAAGCATCAGCAAACACCATGAACAGACACACTTTCAACATCACCTTGTTCCCTTGTCTATCACAAACAAGCACATAAACGACTTGTGAAATGCATTAAAAATGACAACTTAGCTCACCCTTTCACCTTTATCGCCCTTTGGCCCTTGTGGCCCTGTTGTACCTGGTCCTCCCTAGAACAATAGTAAAAAATTTAGGACGCAGTGTACTTATTTTACTCAGACATCAACAAACAGTTCTGCAGGTCAACAGTTACTCACTGGGTCTCCTCTGACACCAGGTAGGCCCTGTGAACCCTGTATGACACAAAAACAACAGTATTTTGTTCACCCTATGCTAATACAACAACATGAACACATCCAGAGGATCTATGGATTTTGGTGTCTCAACTCACTGGGACCCCTGCAGTTCCAGGGGCACCTGGTCGCCCTGGCAACCCTGGATTTCCATCAATACCAGGAAAACCCTAAACAGAACAACAAAATGTTTGTTACTTTTTTCTGGACAAATTTCTATGATGTTGTTATGGCCTTCGCTGTACTCACTCTTTCCCCCTTTTCTCCTTTCACCCCCGCTGTGGGAGGGAACGGGATAGTTTGGCCTGGTGAACCTGGGCGTCCTTCAGGGCCTCTGGGGCCATCTCTCCCAGGCAAACCATCACGACCCTACATCACGTAGACGCAGGTGTACACATTATTACTATGTACTATGAATATTAAAGACCAGTACATTGACAGTACATAGAACCATCACAGTCAGTGCTAATGAATTACTCACAGGCTCTCCCTTGCGCCCATCTGCACCATCTCTCCCTCTCTCACCCTGTGGAGTCAAACAAAAAGTGACACCTTTACAGTTGAAAATACAAATACAATACAAAGAAGAGTGGTAAAAAACTGAGCAACTTCTGCATTATACCTTCTCTCCACGATCTCCTTTCTCACCCTAAAAGAAATGGGAAACATTAACCATATTAGAAATCACAGGAAGGAAAAGGCAAGTATGAAAGTACAGTTAGACAATAACTCACCCGAGGGCACTGAATTGCACACTGGTCTGGACCTGGAGTTACCTACAAAAAAAAAGGCAGAAACATTAAGCTGAAATTAATTTTTTTTTGTCTTACATCCTCCTTTATTACATTAATTCAATTCCTTGCTATTTCAATTAAAAAGCCACAAAAAACTTAACAACATGTGGTATATGTCCAAATGTTACATTTGTTTGTCAAATAGCTAAACTGAGAGTTACAGGTATTGGCAAACTGTGTTGTTTTGTTCTTGGTTACTGTAAACTGACTAGGCTAAGCATGACTCTAATTTGAAAAGTAAGATTATGACCAAAACATGTATTTTGATGATGTTTCTCCTCACCTCTGGTATTCTGGCGATTCCACAGAGCAGGTCTGCCAGATCAGTATGTAGTGTGTCCAGCTGTGCTGCACTACGGCCATACAGGATGTTCTGGGTGCTGCCATCCGTAACAGCACGACGTAGCTCCTCAGTATCTGCCTGGTCAATACCCACTGCTAACACTGTGACACCTAGCAGACAAACGTACACACACCAACAGATCAGTCTCACTGAATAGACAGTTTTTAGGATTTGTGTGTGTACTGTATGCAGAACACTTGTCATTGTAAAGTATTCATAAATATTGTTGAAGTTCTTGTGAATTCAGGGAAAAAAAAGTATTTTCCATGTTTTTTCAGGTTGTTTCAGCTCTAGATAGAGTTTATTTGTCACAGGGCCAGTGACTTTAGACAGTTTTTTTTTTAATTAAAGTACATACACTGTGGTGAAATCTTGAAAATAAATTGTGCAGCCAACTACACCAATCTGGTAGGGGCAGGTAGTTACGTCCAACATGATTAAAGCAAAGTTTCATTCTCCAGATGAATTGAGTGTGACTGTTTGTTGGTCTGCTCAGCATACCTGTAGCTCTGAGATTACTGGCTGCGAGAGTGAGGTTGTCAGCTGATTTTCTGTCAGTGATGATGACAACAGCACCAGGGACCCTCGGTCTGCGTCCAGCTGAGGGGGTCAGAAGGTACTGTCTGGAGAAGGTCACTGCCTCACCTGCAGAGGGAGACAAACAATATTATAACTGCTAACACACATAAAATGAGCAGCGACAGAAAGGAAGTTCAGGAAATCTCTCACAAGATGTAGAAAAAAACTGACCAATGTTATTCCCTGGGCTTTCATCAAAGGGTGTGGACTGGATCTCTTGAAGCAGTGTGTCAGATCTGCCATGGCGACTGAGCAGGAACCATATTTTGGGTCTGTAACCGTACACTACAACTCCCACCTAATACAGACAGAGAACAATAAAGATGTTGGCAGTACACAGCTAAAAAAATGACTATGCAAACACATTGTGTGAGCTATCGGCCTGATACCTCTCCATACCCTGTTTTGAGACTTATTTGTGAGGAAGAGTACCTGTGAGTCACGGGTTCCAATGGTGTTGAGTGACCCTGCTGCACTTGTGAGGAGTTCACGCAGAGGTCTTGCGAGGCTGATCCGATCGGTAGATGCCGGCACCAGAAACACCACATCCAGACGCCCGCCCACACACACTGTGGTCAGAGGTTTGTAAGAGTAAGTAAGGTATCAAAAGATGTTCATACGTAAAGGTGATGAAAGGGCATGTGTTGATGTGTTACCAGTGCGTTCATTAACAGAGCTCTCCGTTCCCAATCCATTTTCAAAGGTGGGCTGCACACTAAAGCGATATCGACGGCCCAAACGTAGCCCAGTCACCTGGTAAGAGCTGGAGGAAGCAGGCAGCGAAACAGACAAGCCTCGACCAACATCTGAGAAGAACAGTTAAAATGATAAGACTGTAGAGCAGGCATATAAGAATCTAAAACATATAATCTCTGAACACATGTAATAAAATGTTTCACCTGTCTCGTCTCTCCAGCGTAGAATATATCCTGTGGCACCTGGTAGTGGAATCCAGTCTAGCCGTGCAGAACTCTGGGTAACCTCTGCCACTCGTAAAGTTGTGGTAGGTAGAGAGGGAGGAGGGGTATAGGTACCAGCTGTACACACAGATACTCACAATTAGCAAATACCCAGCAATAAGATATTTTGTGAGATATCAGATTTTGTATGAACTATTACACCCAACAAAGACCCATGCTCAATTATGTGTCAAGCTCAAAAGCCTAAAAGTGACTTTCAATGTGCAATGTGCAGTTTATTTAAAAATGTCAAGTACTGTTAACCCCATTATTTCAAGAAGACTTTTAAGGACTTAACTCTAGATCTAAGTATAATTTATCCAATCTACATATTTTTTGAAATACTCTCTGAATATGGGAAGACAGGACTCACGTGTGGTGATTCTGACAGACACAGGGCTTCCCTCTCTGTTTTGAACTAAAGCCATGACCTGCACCTCATATTGAGCTCCAGGGTCCAGCCGGTCTAAATCCACTGCTGTCACATCTCCCCCAACCAGCTGACTCCTTTGTTCACCACCTAAAAAAGCGCACAGTTGACATAAAACAGCCATAAATGAATAAAACTTCTTTCTCATTAATGCATATGTTAGGGGCAACTTGCTTATCAATTGCTTAATGTCATATAAAAAGGAGTGGCTTTAAAATGAATTCTACTTTAAGATCTGTGAAACAGTGTGAGACCACGATAAACCCACCATCTGTTCTCCGCCAAGAAACACGATAAGCTGTTGCTCCTTGCACACCAACCCAAGTGACTCGGACAACCTCTCCACGGGTCTCTTGGACTTGCAATGACGTCACAGTTCCTACCACAGACTGATCGGATTCTGCCAGTCAGGACAGGAAACATGTCAAGCATGACTTACCTTTGTTCCCAGTCATTTTATTTTACATTTTCCTACTTATTGTCAGGTTTCTCCAAAAATACAATATAAACAACAACAGAAATAAAGTGGATTCGACAGATTCAGTGTAGTACCTGTTCTGATGTTCAGAGTGGAAGGGCTTCCCTCTCGAGAGCCACTCAGTGTAGAAACTAGCACACTGTATGCTGAATCTGCCTGCAGTCCATCAATGGTGAAGGAAGAGACGTCGGCTGCCACGTTACGAGTTGTTTCAACACCTGCACCAAGCGAGACATGGCGGAGAGATTAAAATGAGGACATTTTTATCTTTCTTCAACTAAACATACATGAGGACAGAAGAAGTTGACAGTCAGACCACCCAAATCTAAATCTTTTAATTACTTAAATCTTTTCTTTACATTACCCTTTTTTCATGTGTCCAGCTGTATCTCATGTCTCTAAAATGTTCAGTATCTAATGCTAATCATTGCTTACCATTATCACTACGCCAGGTGATCTTGTAGCCAGTTGCCCTTGGGGAGGGTGACCATGAAATGCGTATCCTCTGAGATGTGACGTCAGTGATGCGAAGTCCAGATACTGATCCGCCGTGGGGATTAGTCCGAGCTGACAGTGTGACCACCTCTCCAACGCGTTGGTCAACAACAGCTGCAACACCAATTACCAGCGCCTCATCTGGTTGCAGACCATCTATAGTGAAGGCTGTGGCCTCCGCCCCAAGAAGACGGGACTGTTCCGCACCTGCAATGCAGAACATAAGGACAGATAATCTCACACACATAAAAAACTGAGTACAAGCCAAAAACTAGAGATAAGTAAAGAGTTGAAACTTCAAAGCCAGCTTCAAAAGTCTGTTTTTATCTTTTTTTGAAAGGAAAGACCAAAAAAATCAATCAAAACTTTAACATGTACAAGATAAATCATATAAAAACACCATAAACTTCAAAAACAAAATCATTACAACACATAACACTTACTGTTGCTTTGTCTCCAAGTAACCCTGTACCCTGTTGCCCCAGTGACACCTGCCCAGGCAATTCGAATTCTCCGACTGTTCGCATTTGTCACTCTGAGGTTAGTCACTCTTCCAGCACTTTGCTCTGAAATGAAGGTGATACAATGCCTCATGTGATAACAATTCGAGGTTTGAATCTTTTTTCAACAGCAAGAGTCTTGCTGAGTATTTCACTTCATCAAACATACGTGTTTGGCAGTGTTGCCTTCAATGAGATGTCCACAGGTTACACTAAAGAATCTACAATATCTGTTGAACAACATTTAAGATTCCAGGTGCAGAAATTGACAGATAAATGAAAAAATACACAGGTACAGCACATCAACTCACCTGGTTTGATGTAGACAGTGACTGGGTCTCCTTCATTTTCTCCCACCAGTGCTGTGACACTGATACCATATGACACTCCCACTGTCAGGTCTCTGAGGTCAAGGGTTGTTTGGTTTCCGGGGATAGTTCGGATTTCCTCAGTGCCCGCTGACATGATATGAAGCACATAATCCACAATCATGTTTTTATTCATAACTGGGCAATAAAAATCTAAATCAAAATAGAATGATGAATAATACCGTCTGTGTTCAGGATAATGATGCGGTACTGTGTGGCCCCAGCTACACCTATCCAGCCAAGTCTGACAGTACTGCCCAGAGACTCCACAACTCTCAGGTTGGACACCCTCCCCACTGGCTGTTCCTCTGCAACATCAGAGGGTAAAGACTCTCATGAATAACAGATACAAGCACAAAAACATTTAGGCATAGATATCTTTATCTATAAACCTATTCAGAACTGCAGAGAATCCAACCACAGCACATTTATGACCCATAAATCATTCCAAAATGAATTCAGAGTTTAGAGTTCCCTCTGGCTGAGTGATTGACCTCTGGATGTGGTGGAAACAGGTGTGGCCTCCTCACGACCTTCGAACAGGGTATACAGGGTGATAACATATTCTGTGTTGGGCCGGAGGCCAGTTAACTCATAGCTGGTGGTGCTTCTAGGAAAGGACAGGCTCTGGACGCGGCCTCCTGGAGACAGAGCAACAATCCAAGATCAGTGGGTTCACATTAATTTTACTTCAGGTAAGTGGGAGTACGATGCCTTCATATGTACTGTATATAATTCCTACTGCTTGCATTTTAGTGGAGCTAGCAAGTTATACATATTAGGGTATATTTGAGTGAATTCATGCTGCTAACAAAAGCATAATCATACCAAAAAAATTTAATTGCTTCATTTTAATACAATATTTGAATGTTTGAGCATGAGTGACATGCACATCTGACCTTCACCCTCCTTCCACTCCAGTCGATACCCTCGAGAGGACTGAATTATTCTCCAGGTGAGGCGGATGGAGGAGGGGCCGGTGGTAGCTGCTCTGAGGACCTGCTGCTCCTGACGCTCTGAGGAAAACACATTATGTAATATGTCATACTGACCTTGACCTTTGACAGCCAAAATCTAATCAGTTCATCTTTGAGTCCCAGTGGACCTTTGTGTCAAATGTGAAGGATTTCCCTTGGGGAGTTCTCGAGCTATTGCTTTCACAAGGCCAAAACCACATTTTGTGAGGACACCATGACCATGCCCTTTGACCTTTGACCCCCAAAATCTAATCACTTCATCCTTGAGTCCCAGTGGACATTTGTGTCAAATGTGAAGGATTTCCCTTGGGGAGTTCTCGAGCTATTGCTTTCACAAGGCCAAAACCACATTTTGTGAGGACACCATGACCATGCCCTTTGACCTTTGACCCCCAAAATCTAATCACTTCATCCTTGAGTCCTAGTGAATGTTTGTGCCAAATTTGAAGAAGTTTCGTCGCAGTGTTACTGAGATATTGTGTCAATAAGAAATGGGCAAAGAGGTGGGGTGTGTGGGGAGCTGAGACTTCGGTGCATGCTGGTTTGTGGCAAGCTTACGCTCGCCCACTTGTCACTCAAAGCAGCCCTCAATTATGCAGAACTTTAAGCATAAAACAGATGATTTATAAAACTCCCCGTACAGTTGTTAAGAAGGGGGAAATTAGCTATACAGACCAAAACCATTTTTTATACAGGGCTGTAAACATGTTTATTTCTGCTGAAAAGTTTGGCATTTTAACATGGGAGTTTACTGGGATTGACTCTCTTTTGGAGCCAGCCTCAAGTGGCCATTCGAGGAACTGCAGTTTTTGTTGGCTCGTCTTAGGCTGCCTGAGAGGGCAAGATCTAAGCACCTGTCTTAACTTATGTCTGATATTAAACATGAAATCAGTAGATTATTAATACCAAAGGGTCAGTATGTGAGCACCATGTTACTGATTACTGGCTAATAGATGGACAAACTGGGACTGAAACATGTTTAGAGGAAAAGTTGTAAATGCTGAATGTTTGTTGCAGAGGAGTGACTGAAGGAATGTCCTGTTGAGATGAGAAGCTCTGCAGGGAGCAGCTGCGCAGTCAGGGAGAGGGAAGAGGGAAAAGAGGGAATTTAAAGAATCATCTCAGACTATACATCACTGGAGCATCTAACGTTACACAGAATCATTTATAGCACCACAATTCCTCCTGACTCACACACATTGTGCATTTACCTAGGTCAGAGAGGGAAGTGCTCACTTTAAAATTACTATATATGGCTCCCAAGCTACATGCTATATATTTACATAAACACAGGGTCTTCCTCAAGAGTTGGCATCTCTACCAAATGTACATTTAGAAGGAAAAGTGTCTCATCTAACATTACAACCAACAGCAGAGTATTGGTTGAAGTGACCAGCCAATCAGACGTAAGGGCACTTAGATCCTGCCCTCTCAGGTATCCCAAACATAGACTGCATAAAAAATGTCTGATTTTCCATTTTTCAATTATGTTTTTCTATCCAACATTCCACAAATAGAAGATTAATAAATAATAAATAACGTAATTGAACCGATGAATGAAAAATTGAAGATAAGGAAATTGAATTGATGCAAAATAGAACTGACAAGCTATTTTCTGGTATTGTGACATCCCTACTACATTGTATTCTCTACTCAAATTTCAACTAAAAAGACCAAGTAGTCACGTCCTCATAAACCCATCCCAGCTGCAAGAGCATAGCTACAAATTCTGGTCTGCTTGCAAAAATGTCACACCCTGATATATCTAATTTAGTATGCTATCATGCTGAAGGTAGGCAGTTACAAGACTGATGGGAAAAATTGGTCTGAGTGCAACAGCTAGTGTCTCATTTGTCATTATATTACATTTAGTAGAGATTCAGTGAGATGTGTAGAGAAACATCAAAACAAGAGAACTACTAAACAAAGTAAGTAATCAGGATGCCACTCTGAAACCATTCCAAATCCACAACTGCTTCCCATAAACACCGTGCACATGTCCATGACAAACCTTTTGTTGTTCTTATCCTTCAGAGTTAAGGATTCTATTGTGAAATGATACAAAAACTACTGGGTTGAAGAGGTGAAAATATTCTGTCATTGCAAGTGATAAATTACCATTATGGAGCTTTTCATGTCAGACACAATGTCAGACCTCTGCCCTCAGGCTGTCGGTATAGTGGACTAAGCTCAAAGAAATGCTCACTGTGACTAAGAGCAGCAAATCATCATCCAGGTCAGCTCAGAAAGACAGAAAAGCACTTTCTCTCTCATAATGATAAACCGTGATGCACATACATCAGTGAGAAACAGGTGTCAATGGCGATCACAGAGGTCAAAGAACAAAGTCTACAGACCACTGGCTCAGTCTTGGGCATCCAATGATGAACTTTTTAGGCCTGAGACTCAGACTATGTGTAACAAGTCAACAGTCAACAATTTAATCCATAATACATAAAGCTACTGAATAAGTTGAATTTGATGTCATGTGGTCTTTAATATATTTTTTAGGACTTAAGGTTAGGCATCCTACATGTTAGAAAGCGTAATGGTATTAATTAATGTATTAATGATATATTTGTAAATAAATATGAGGGCTTCACTCAATGTGGTCCTGACTGAAAGCAAAAAAAAAAAAAAAAATTAATTACTGCCTTGCGGCTGTATGCCTCTACCAACGTGCCAAGTTGCAGGAAATATGGTCACAATCTGCCCTTCCTGAGTTACACTGTTGAATAATGGACAGAAATGTTTTTGCACAACATTATGATGTCACAGTGGAGATGACTATAAAATGTCATCAAGTCATCATTTTATTCTATTAGACATTTGTCTTAAATTGTGTCATAATTGGCATATGAATTTGTGAGTTATGGCCAAAAACGAGTTTTATGAAGTCAAAAATCTGATCAGTTGATCTTTGAGTCGAAGAGAATGTTTGTGCCAAGTTTGAAGAATTTTCCTCCAGCTGTTACTGAGATATTGCAGTTACAAGGCCAAAACTGTGTTTTGTGAGGTCACCGTGACCTTGACCTTGACCTATGCCCTTTGACCTTTGACCACCTAAATCTAACCAATTCATCCTTGAGTCTAAGTGAATGTTTGTGCCAAATTGGAAGAAATTCCTTCAAGGCGTAACTGAGATATACAAGGAAGAGAATAGGATGTAGGGATGTGCAAACGAAATGCCTCCGGCCCTGGCTTGAAAACATTTCCTAATATGAAGGAACAGACTTCCGAATCACAAATCACAGACACAACAAAGCTCTACTGGTTTACACAGGAACAAACAAGAGAGAAACAAGCTCAGCTAAAGTTTAAGTTACTGTGATTTACAGTATGGAGAACATAGTATACATCTCCCTTCTCTGACAGCAGAACTAGGGCACAAAAAGGGTTTTCATCCTCCATTCCCACCAGCTCTCTGCTTAGTACAGTGGCCCTGCAGTGACTCAGCCTTCATTCAAATAACACTGGTCCAACAGAAGTGACACCATATGGGTATTACTCACGAGAGACAGATGGTGTGTGTGTATAACGAGTGTGTAGGTGTGCTAGAAATGTTCCCTAAACAGAACTAAACAGAAACATGTGTTGGTTTTTTCGGAAGAGAGACAAACAACACGGAAGACTGTTGACCATCCTCTCCATCTCTGCTTTTTGTTCCCCTCAGCTTCCTGTCCGTATGCATGCAAGCACATACTCAAAAAGCATTCTTTTACTGCAGTTTTCTAATATAAAACATACAGAGCGACCCAAATATAGTATGTCATTTGGTGTGTGTAAATGTGCGTTTTGAGAGAGAAGAGGGTACAATTAACACAGAGAAAAAAATCAGAGAGAGATGTTTGGTGTTGATGTGACATATTGGACGCACACCTACCTATCTTGAACCTGGCAGTGGCTACAGGGCCCTCAGTGTTGCCTTCATACAGTGGGATGATAGTAACGATGTACTCAGTGTCAGGCTGCAGTCTGGACAAAGTGTGAAACTCACTGTTGCCAGCAACCTCCACAGTCTCAAAATTTCGACCTTTGTGAACAGAAAAGTACAAATAACTTATATTTGTGAAAAGTCATACATGTGGTGAAAGATTTTGATGTGTTTGATGTTGTCTGCTTTGTCCTGACCTGGAAATGGTCCCCAGACTAGACGGTAGGTCCGAGCACCACTGACGCCTCTCCACCGCAGACGAACACTGCCCTCTGACTCCGTCTCCACTGATAACTGCTTTACTGCCTCAAGCCGCACTGACAAATGCAAAACCATGAACACAAAGACACTTTTAAATATTAGCTGATGATACTGACACCCATTATAAACCGCAAGGAGACAATATCATTATACAGAATGTACTTAAGTACAAATACTGTAATGCATTAAACATTTGCATAATATTCCTCCATTTTGTAACTTTATTACAAAATGTACAACTGTATAATATTGTGTCTACTTGTTTTAGTGGGCCACTGGGTAGACTCACATGTGCGGGCATTGAGGACGGATGGAGATGCAGAATTTCGGGGGAACAGAGGGTAGAGACTGATGACGTATTCTGTGTCAGGCTGAAGTGACTCCAAGGTGACGGATGTGGAATCTGCAGACAGAGACTGCTCCAATAGCTGAGCCGCTGGCTGACCTGCTCTTCCAACCACACAATATACAGGACAAACAGACATGGAGGGCATGCAAAAGACCAATTAGTGCACTCAGAGTAATCAAAACTTATACTGTACATTATGTCATCAGACAAAGTGGCTGACAACAAGCTAGAAAAATATAGATGTCTTTCTCTCACCTCAATGCGCAGTGTATTTATGGCAGCCTGCCAACTGCAGAGAAGTAATGTGCACAGCCTTATATACTGCCATTAAATGCAATGAGCTTTATAAGTCCTGAGCTTTCTGAGAGAGACTGTGTCTGTGTTGTGTGCATGTCCTGTATGTGCTTTGGTAGCTGTCAGTATCTGTCTATCAGAGTCAAGGTGCGCACTTGCTGGAGCTGGCAGACACTGAAACAGGTAGAAACATCACACCTCTCATTACAGGATACACCTCATTTGAATATTCTCACACACACATGCCAGCCTAACTAGTCAGAAAAGGAGCTCCATGTGAGACTGGCACTCCTGCTACATGTTTGGTGGGAGATAGCATTTATATTGGCCCTCAAGGACCATTTTTCTTTCCTGAATCATGGTATAAGCACCCAGACATCTTGACACTGTTATGATCTATGCCACACCCTGTCTACAGAAATGTGAGGAGAAAAAATTACTGTGACACAAGTAAAGGTTTTCTGTCTATCTAATTTCAAGACTGGTGATGAGAAAATGTATTTGATATTTTAGGTAATGATTGAGCAATAAAAAGCCTCAACTGACAGCCAGTGCCTGAGGGAGTTAGGGAGTTAAGGTGTTAGATATGCTCATGTTCCTCATAATCAGCCTTGACTGCTATACATTCTCAACATGTCTCCAACTTGCCACCAACAGGTTAACTGTTGTTCTCTCTTCACTGTTATACTGTTATATCCTTCGTTTTGCCAAGATATGTTTTTGTGAAAAGATAATAATCAATTTCTAAATTTCTTTATTTTCTGTAACGAGGATATGTTGGTGACGTCCTGTAACTGTTACAATAACAGAAATGCATGGTTCAGGTGAGAGGCAGACACAAAGAGAAAAACAGATGGAGACAGACAGGAAATAGAAGCAGGGATATGTGTGCGCCTGACCTCTTAGTCCATAGGTGAGTCTGTAGCCCTGGACAGGAGATGAAGGCTGATCCCAGCCAACAGTGAGAGAGAAGAAGTCAGCCTGGACCAGACGTAGACTGGAGACACCTGGCAGGGACCCTATGAGGAGAAAAAAAAAAATTCCAGGTGATTGTGACAAGTTCAGAATAAATGGTTCTGTCTTGTGTGAGAGAGGTTGCATTAGTGTTTTGGCAAATGTCTCTCGGCTAACATTTGACTCCTTCACTTTTTACTCACTGGTTCGTTGCTTGGCAGAAGAAGACTCTCCCACACTGTTGGGGTATTGGGCAATGATAGTCACCAGGTAGTCTGTCCCTGACCTCAGCTCTCGGGCAGTGAAGGTCCTCTGACTAGCAGAGACAGTCTCCTGCAGGTAGAGACACAGGTCATCTGTGTAAATATTTCTGCCTAAAACATGTTTTTGTCAGGTGAATGACTGAAATAGACGGCTGAGCCATGCCATTCTTCTATCTTCATCATGTCTGCTAGGGTACACAAAGGGGGAATTTCTCTTTTTTTCTCTTCTGCCAAACTTTAATCTCTACAGCATCTACATGAAGACGATCCACCCATTAGACAAGTTTATACTCAGCCTAAAGGCATGTGTTTTGTCTCACAAAGCAGGATTGACTTTGGCTCCTGAAACTGCAATTAACTACTTGAATCTAGGTCATGTGAATGTGTCAACACAATATACTTCAACATCAGGACTCACCTGCCGCAATTCTGCTGTAATAGGCTGACCCAGGCCGGAGAGGGGCACATACTGGACTACATAGCCACTCACAGGCCCCCCTGCAGGAGTCCAGCGAAACCTGAGAGAATCAGACATCTGCCCTGTAAACTGAATGTTGGACGGACCAGAAAATGCCTCTGGAGGAGAGGAGAGGATAGGAGAGAAGGAGAGGAGAGGAGAGGATGCATGATGAGACATGAATAAGATTAAACGCAGGTTTACAGTTTAAGATAATAGTTACACATACTTGCGTCTGTGTACATTTGAGTGTACAGTATGTGTACAGATGTTAAGTTACCATGCGTACCATCACTAGCATAGACTCCTCCTGCTTTTGAACACACTCGGGGACTCACAAGAGGAAGAAGTGTGTTCAGCAGTTTGAAATCCCCAACAAAGGAGGTGAAGTCACTGCTGGGCTGAGAGGATATCTGAGCCAGTTCATTCCTATCTGCGCTCTTTATGCCTTACAAACACAAACATTTGGAAAAGTAAAAAAAAAACAGTGATTCATAAACAAGTCTCAAATAATTCACAATTACTTAGGGTAAGAGAGGAGAAACTGAAGATGCGACACCTACCAACTGCAAAAACATGCACTCCTTGACTACGCAGCTTCTGTGCAGGTTCTTGCACACTGTCCTGTGACTTTCCATCTGTGATCAGGATAGTGATCTGAAAATTAAGGAGGGCCCACAGATAGAATTAGAAACACAATAAATGGTGATTTAAATAAATATATATCGTTATATAATTATGAAACATCATAGAACGGCTGCTCTTTAAACCTTTGGGACATCTCGACTGGCTGAAGGGTTGAAGAAGTTGTCAGCCACAAACTTGAGACCAGCACCAGTGCGTGTGTTTCCACCTTTATAGTTTAGATTTTCTACGGCATTGACCAGCTCTGTGCCATTCAGGTAGGTAGTAAAGGTGAATTCAACCCTGGAGGAAGAGAAATGTGCATTAATACATTATCCTGCACCTGCAGAACGATGAAAGAAAGACAGATCCTCTGTTACTGCATACAGAGTAGTGAGGTAAATGTTAATACTGTCAAGCACCTGGAGGTGTCACTGTACTGTATGGCCCCAAACCGTATCCCTGACTCGCTGACAGAGCTGGCAAATGGTTTGATGATTCCAGATATGAAACCCTTCACCTGCAGGAAGTTAGCTCGGCCAATACTGGAAGACCCATCAACCAGGAAAACAATATCTGCTGCTTGCACATTATTACACCTGCCTGCAGACACAAGTGATGGAGAAGTCATGTGAGCACATAAAGACATAGCCTCTGCACAAACAGACAGACAGACAATCACATTGGAAGAATCGTGAGGCTGATGTGGTAGTTAGGAAAATCATTTTATATATGTGTGTGTGTAGTATTTTTTATTTTTTTACCCTGAGCTTCAGCCTGTTTCATGAAGGTCAACAGGACAACCAGTGTGAAAAGCCAGCTCCACATCTTCACAACCTGGACACAAAAAGGGCAGAGAATTTTTTTTTTTTTTGCTGTTGCTGTTTTTTAAATTTTCTGTTAATATCCATCCATTAATTGGCAGTTAAAAAATAACATCCACAGTATTGACGCTTGCAGACTTGAAAGGCCTTGTTTATTGTTGACTACTCCTGCTCCATCATCCTCCTTTCCTTGCTTCCTACTTGCTTCCTACTTGCTTCCTTCTTTCCTACTGGTTACCTGACCTTGTCACTTTCCTGTTCAGCTGTATCCCATTAGTCATTTTCTCCTCAGCATATGTTCAATGTAGTTCAGCCCTGTTATTTTGTCTGGTTGACTATGTTGCCTTAGAGTTATAGCCATTGTTCTTGCCTGTACCTGTTCTGACCCACCTTGCATCTTTGATATCCTGCCTGCCAGTCTCATCTCTTTGAACATTTTAGCTTGTTCCAAATGTCTGACTGACTACCAGGTGAAGTATGTTTTATTAATCCAGTCAGGCTTCACAAGTATGCATCAGATCCCAGTCCTGTTTGCATGTTACAGTTTCAGAGATGGCACAGTAAATAATTCTTAAACTAGCATAATAACCAAAACTAGACATTGTAGTCCAAGTTAAGGCAGGAGCATGAACTCATTAGTATGTAGCTGATCTGTCTGAATGCCTCTACTTGTCTGCTAAATGGTCCAGACATCTATTGCTGCTGCCACTGCTATCTGTATTGGTGCTGCTGTTTACTGGCCACGTCACTGTACAACCCACCACATTAGTTTTCACAGGGAAAATATTCAAATTCATATTAATTATCATTATCATGATAACACTGTGTGATTACTAACATTGGATGCTGGACCTACAATACAAATCCATTTTTTTTTTACCTTAACTATGAATTGAAACCTGGAAACTCAGTTCATAAAGTCCACACTACTTTCATGCTCTCTAGTTTCAGTGCTTATGTTTGGCAGTAATAATCAGGATTTCTAAAGTCCTCAGAACAGAACTGACTTCTGGGTGACCTGTCCTCACTTCAGCTTAAAGCTATATTTAAACCAGCCCTAAGAGTAGTCAGCAAAATTATATTTTTCAACTGGAACAACAGAATTACATTATCGACCAAGCTCTGTTAACATAATAACTAAAAAGAAGAAACACAAGAAACATAACAGAACAACATCAAGTCTTTCCAAGACACCTGGTCTCCTTTTTTGCGATTTGTGCGCTCATTCTTTTCCACTTCTCCTTCTGCTAATCAATGTATATTTGAAACACTTTGGGCAATTTAATGAATATTATTTGTCTATATTTTACTATGTATGTCTTGTAGCACGTTTTGTTTTTAACCTGTTAACTTTCTTGCCCTGTATTGTCCTTGCGATGTGATGTTTTTGATTGCATTGCCTTTCTGAAAAGTCGGTTTGAACATTTATCTCCACGTCATCTTTACACATCACTGCCACCAACTTGAGCACACGACTTTTGAGCAAAAAAGTTATTCGCAGCAAATTTCAGTGACAGCTTTTGTCAGTTGAAGGACATCCACTGTGAAAGTGGAAGACTTCTTTTCATGATAACCTCTATTCACATTCACCTTTTCACAGAGGTGATGTACTACACAGCGGCTACTGGAAATAACTAACAGATGCTGAGCCAAAGAACAAAACCTCTGATCTACTCTGTAGAGCTAGGGTAACAATGTCAGGAGCAAAACCATGAGAAACCACCACAGATGATTGAAGCAAATGCATAAGTGGAAGCAGCAGGACAACTGCGGATAAAAGTGATTTTATGAGCTTGTATAGAAATGCAAAGAACATCAACATCATCTGGAATTTGGTCGTTTTACCACTTGGCATTTTGTCGGACATGTCGGCATTTTTACCCAAACCAGACTGACTGTGCCCCTCCAACAGAACTAGCCCACATTAAAGACAGCTGTAATTGATGGTTTCTGACAGACTTGATTATGCTCTACGGCAGACAGATAACTAGATTTAAGTTCAACTACATTATTTCGCATTCTTGCTAAGAGTTAGATTAGATTGATAGATTGAAGATTGATACCACTCTCATATCTGTATGGCAATTACCGGTATATGGCTACAGCCAGCAGTCTGTTAGCTTAGCTTAGCATAAAGACTAGAAACAAGGCTAAACAGGTAGCCTGGCTCTGCCCAAAGGTAAAAAATATGTCTAGAGGCACCTCTAAAGCATCTCCAAATATTACATCATATCTGGTCTGTTTAATAAGCACAAAAACCAAAGTGTACAAAGGACACATTTACACACTTTGGTTTTTAAATGGATTCATTAAACAAGATATAACATGTTAACGTGTCTTCATGCTAAGCTAAAGAGATTGTCTCCTGGCTGCTATATATTTACCTACAGACTTGAGAGCGGTATCTTCTAACCCAACAAACTATTCCCTTAACAATTATAGCACAAAAAGATAAAGGACAACTCGGGTCTTTCTTTAATAAATAGACGCTAGAATTAGGTGCCCTTGTCCTTTTAAGAAGTTCAAGACATTCAGACATTGCCTAAAGCCAGAGACTCATAATTATCCATAAACCTTTGTCCCCTTGGTAAAATACAGAGCCCACGAAACCCAACAGTTTTAGATTTTTGTCCCAAACATGCAGCACACACGTAAAGCTTAATATGTTCCAAATGTAATGCCCCTCTCCCCTTTCAAGATTCAAAGTATTTATTTTAAGACTATAAAACACCTATAAAGTGAAATTATGTACAATTACCTCCCGACAAACCACATCAGCTCACTCTCATTTCATGTTATTTTTCTTTTCCCTGTATGGACCTGAATGAAATCATGTTAATTTCTGGTTTCATTATGTAAGCCAGGTGTTGAGACCACAGTCTATACCCAGTCTCATCTGAGTAATTATATCTTGGCTAACTTAACAGATCTTAATTTAAAGGCATTAATGATTTGAGGGCCGTTATGAACACCATCTGATATAACTAGAAGAAGAGGCAGTAAATGTCGAAAGCATCACAAAGAACAGATTTCTCCTCCTTTCTTCCCCTTCCTGCCACTCCCACAACACACCCACAAACGCTATTTTATACTCAGGCCCTAACCTAATCCATGAGTACACACTAGTATATCTTCAAATAACTGCCAAAATAAGTCACCGGGTAGATCCCATGCCAGCTGTGGGAATAACCCACTTCCTCTGATAAACTTTATTATTACAACACATGTAAAGATGTTCATCAAGACTATATAAAGTACATTCCTAGGGTGGCCTCAACACCTGGAATTTTGTAGGGATGAAGTAACTAGCTTATGGGTATGGCCACACCCACTACAGGCCACCTGGGAACTAAACCAAAGACTTTGGTTAAAAGGTCAATGACACAGTAGCTTAGTGCTTATCAGAGAGCTCCTCAACTGGAATCAATTGAGGACTTAGTGGGGAAAAAACTACCTGTATGCAACAGCACTGATAGAGGAAGAAAAGGATTTTTCAGGGACAGGAAGAAAATGAGATTAGGACTCATCCCAAAGATTCTGGTGGGAGCTGTACAGAGGGTGGGCTGTGCTTTCTGAAAGCTCAGCCCAGGCAGGATCACTGAGTTGTACTTTAATAGAGATGCCATTCTCCCTGGGGGGCGGCGGGCCACAGGCTACTGCAATGTGACAGAGTGCAGGATTGTGTAAGACCCAGGCTCCCTCATAACATCAGTCCAGGGACAGAGTGTGACACAAGTGGACATAGGTATGGATGGTCAAAGGAGGCCAGGGTGTCACAGTTATTACCCAAGTCTCCTGCAAATTTGCTCACACATCAGGATTTTGTTTACTTGGTACACACAAGCTGCTGGTAGCAAGAACCAAAGAGCCCTGCTCTGAGGCTGAGGGTCAAAAGCAGGGGAGACTGATCCTGTCACCTTTGACCTCTAGCCTCAGGTCAAGTACAGCAACAAACACATCTGCCAGTAATGGATTATCAGTCTATTTCTTCATCCAAACCAAACACAAGTACTAAAAACAGCAGCTTTTGAAAACCTTCTGTGACCCATTGTTGGAACAAGTCTCAAAGGAAGCATTGATGTTATCCTCCTATTTAAGTGTTTCACAAGCCTTGTATCACTATTAACAAATGCCAGATGGACTAAATCAGGGAAATAACTGAATTCATCAATGGTGTATGCTTTTCATTCAAAGACATGAATGAACAGAGACAAAAACTTTAATTCTACTCTAGTTAAATCAAATATAAACACAGTTATAGAGCCATTTAAGCACCAGTAACAGTTAAAATATACCAATTCTATTCAAAATTATTTATGTCTGCATATTTTTTCAACAAAATGGCCCATTGCTGATGCATTTGTTTAAAAATAACACTATTAAGAAGACAGAGATCTGAAAATAATGTTCTCTTCCTAGACCCCAAGTGAAGGCAAGAGAAAATGTTTCAAAACAAATATATCAAACACACAGTAACGAGCAGCAGTCCTGCATAGATGACACACTTGGGGTCTGTCCAGGACCATCCACTACAAGAGTGGCATGCCAAAAACTTAACCAAGCATGGCTGCAAAAATGCAGTGAATTAAAAGATGACAGAGACAGTGGGAGGATGAAGGTGAGACAGAGAGGAAGAGTTCAATCAGTCCTGTTAAACATTTGAGACATATTTAAAAAATCGAGATATGGCATTCTGGGATTTTTTGCTGTTGCATGAGCCAAACCACAGCAAAGACATGAATGCCCTTAGAAGTGGGACAGACAATCGAAACCAATTAATATACAAAGGCAGAGGAGGAAGCGGAGGAGTAATAATGCCCCCTCACTAAATGAGTTCAGCTGAGGTCAACATGGTTGTACACTCCCCCTTTGTCCTGTGCAACTGTATGTAGTGAAGTCTAATGCAGGCAAAGTGTTTGCAAGCACAAAATACATTAATTACAGGTTTTGTCATGGTTATATATTCTTTCAGATAAAATTACATCACCATGTTATGTGTTTTTTAGTCTAAACCCCCAGAGGAACATAAACTGAGGTAATCTGAGGTATTGCAAAGATGCTTATTTCAGAGAGGGTGAAAATGAGGTGAAGAATGTTCTGCTCAGTCTTGTCCAAAGTCAAGACTTTAGCTGCAGGGAAGCAATAGGATAAGGAGTGTTAAATTGGCTACAATTCAAGTAAGTGCTCCATAGGTACATGGTATGAGTTATTGCATACTAGCGTGTGCAGGCAGAGTAAAGCAGCCGAATTTTTCATCCGTACATAAAAATTAAATTATGTCCAGACTCTGTACATCAAAAACGCTTCTTACAAATTGCGCATATCTCCAATTGTGCGTAGCACCAGTGGTATTCCTGCAAATGTATCTTCCTGTAGAGCCCAGAGCTAACCCTCCTCTTCCCGCCTCTGCATCATCTTACCTGCGGATCTCTGCTC